CTCAAAAGGGCTGACAACCTGCACACCTCTCTCAACATCCCAGATCCTCACAGTGTTGTCCCTTGAGCCTGAGAGAATTCTCTCCCCATCAGGGGAGAATGCAACTGATTCAACTCCACCTGTATGACCCTCAAGAGGGCTGCCAGTCTGCACACCTCCTGCAACATCCCAGACCCTCACAGTCTTGTCCCTTGAGCCTGAGACAATCCTCTTCCCATCAGGGGAGAATGCAACTGATTGAACTCCAGAAGTACAGCCTTCAAGAGGGCTGCCAATCTGAACACCTTCCTCAACATCCCAGACCCACACAGTGTTATCTCTTGAGCCTGAGACAATCCTCTTCCCATCAGGGGAGAATGCAACTGATTTGACTCCATCTGTATGACCATCAAGAGGGCTGCCAATCTGTACATGTTCCTCAACATCCCAGACCCTCACAGTCTTGTCCCAAGAACCTGAGACAATCCTCTTCCCTTCAAGGGAGAATGCAACTGATTCAACTCCAGAAGTATGGCCCTTGAGAGGGCTACCAATTTGCACACCTTCCTCAACATCCCAGACCCTCACAGTCTTGTCCCAAGAGCCTGAGACAATCCTCTTCCCATCAGGGGAGAATGCAACTGATTTGACTCCAGAAGTATGGCCCTCAAGAGGGTTGCCAATCTCCATGCCTCCTTCAACATCCCAGACCCTCACAGTCTTGTCCAAAGAGCCTGAAACAATCCTCTTCCCATCAGGGGAGAAAGCAACTGATTCAACTCCATCTGTATGGCCCTCAAGGGGGCTGCCAATCTGCACACCTTCCTCAACATCCCAGACCCTCACAGTCTTGTCCCAAGAGCCTGAGACAATCCTCTTCTCATCAGGGGAGAATGCAACTGATTTGATTCCAGAAGTATGGCCCTCAAAAGGGCTGCCAATCTGCACACCTCCCTCAACATCCCAGACCCTCACAGCCTTGTCCAAAGAGCCTGAGACAATCCTCTTCCCATCAGGAGAGAAAGCAACTGATTCAACTCCATCTGTATGGCCCTCAAGAGGGCTGCCAATCTGCACACCTCCCTCAACATCCCAGACCCTCACAGTCTTGTCCCTTGAGCCTGAAACAATCCTCTTCCCATCAGGGGCAAATACAACAGATTCAACAAAGGAAGTATGGCCATGCAGTAGCTGTTGTTCAACTGGCCACCCTTGCAGCCCTCCTACAGCAACTCTAGCCAGGCTTGGAAATTTTGGCCAGAGCATCATTGATAGCAATGCATTGGAAGGAATAAATGGCAATGCAGAAGCATACAGGTGTGGAGTGCTGTGCACTATTACACTGCCAAAATTCCGAATCAACTTGATTCCATCTTTTACCAATACCAATATATCCTTGGAACCATCTTGGCCCTTCATTGCTGTGTCAGATGTCATCAAATACTGTACATAGGGTACTCACCTGTAGCCATGTGGCAACAGTACTAAGAGCATCTACACCTTTTCCAACCATCCCCAGAAGACTTAATACCTCCACCCAGAACAGAATCTTTTCACTTCCAGCAATAGTCCTCACCAACCCTGCAAGTTCCAAGTCAAATGCTGCCTTCCACAGATGCTGGGCCCAGAATTGACTGGAGTAGGAGAGATGGTGTGGAATCTTCTCCTTGATTCTCTTGGACAGATCAGAAACCTCAGCATTGGCGAGGTAGGAGCTTTCTAATTCGCAGATGTTGAATTGAAGGCTATCATGAAGAATCTGCAATGAAGCATAGGCTAGGTCTCTCGTGTGTTGTGTGTCGGAGGTGTCAATGAAGTAGATACCACTCCGTGAATGATCCATTAGGAAGTCATAGAATGATGCATGAAGGGGCCGCACAGCAGAGACGCGGTCCACAATGCCACCCAGCACTGGAGACAAGAACTCGAGGATGAGAAAAATGTCATACCGCTCCTGCTTGCTTGGAAATTTTTCACGCATCGAATTCAAGGCTGCCATAGGAAGAGGTTCAAGCGTCACCACGACTTGCCGCATCACGGAGTGATACCGTTCCAGGCCTTTCCCAGATTCAGGTATGCCTCCCTTCAGGATTTCAAAGTAAGTCGTGTCGAGAAGTGTTCTTCCTTCTTTTGACTCGAGAGCCATCAGATTGTTGTAGCGTTCTTTGGAAGTTTCTCCAGCTTTACCTGGCCTGATGAATTCGCAAGCCAGACGAGCCCACTCGAACAGGCCTTCAGATTTTTTGACGACGCTCTGGACTTCTGTTGCTCCAATGCTGAGAAAACGGTCAAGTTCCTTGGAAACATATAGCTGGATGTCACGTTCCACCAACTCCCGAGGGACGTCGTCCAATGAGGTTGCCTTCACGTGTGGAACATCCCTCATGACACGTTCGATGTCCGGCAATGGTCTGGACGTCAAAAGGATCCGGAAATTGGCTGGCAGATGCGCAGCTTCTGACGATTTCAGGAGGCCCAAGATTTCCCTCCTCGATGTCTCCGGCCCACTTTCATCCAAGGCATCGATTACCACGACCACATTCCCAACTATCTCTCCGTTAATCTCCGACAGCGGCTCCAAGATGAATCGTTTCCACTGCTGTAGCACATCGCATGTAGTCTTGAGAGAGTGGTCATTTGACACCACATTCGACAATGCTCGTCGAAATGCCGGATCACGATCTGCCAGATCACGAGCGATAGTGGTCAGAATCTTTTCCTCCCGTCGTTCGGCCTGCCTGTCGCGAGCGAAGCAGAAACAGGTGCCAGGTGCTTTCACATCCTTGATCCACGATGCGATTGTATGGGCAATGGCAGACTTTCCTCTTCCGGGCTGCCCGTGGAGCCACAAGATACGAGGGGCATTGACGTCACATGTGGTGATCCAGTTGGTGATATCCTTCAAAATTTCTGTCCTGGTGCCTTCGAGGCATGTCTTGGTCGTATTCAGGCCCGCACCAGCTGCGTAAGCCATGCCTTCGAGGTTCAGGTCTTCGAGCACGTGGGACATCTTGATCTGGATGTCCCGTATCGCGCGATCTCGATATTGTTGCATCAGATCACCGAGATTCTTGATGTGGCCACAGGCGACTGTCTGCGGGTCGGAAACAAGGCTGTCCCCGATTCTTATCACTGACGATGTGTCACATCAGCACACTGAAGCGGATCAGAGGACCATGACCATAGGACCTACAAATGTTCTTCTTTTTGCAATATTTTACGACGAACAGCGCCGCGGCACTCATCTCCTGTGAAATCCTCTGTAACGTCTCTTTCATGCTATCCATATTCTCAATGGTATCCTCTTCCATCAGAAATTCGTAGAGAAGCTTTATGGTTTTGAGGAGGCCAAACACTTCGTTGTCCAGGTTTGCCTGATTGATGAGCAACTGATGAGGACTATATAAGCGAGGGATCCAGGAGAGAGAAGGGGGACATACTTGAGAAGCAGCGGTGAGAATCCCTAGCGCAAACTGGACATAAGGGTGGACCTGTGCGCTTACATCAGAGCGTGCAGGCGACGGAAGGTTAAGGCGCTTACATTCGATAAAGTGGTAACAAAGGAGTTGAACAGTTTGAGAGGCTGGAGAATCGTCTCGATACTTTGAATCTGCGCCACCGCGGTACCGGCCTGCCCAACAAGACCCACAGCTGTTTGCAATACCTGGGGGATGGGCCTCATCTCAACCATTGCCTGTTGTGCATCATTGACCTGGCTGCCAATTCCGGTGTCGGTTGTCTCTGTAGTAAGAGGCTCTGATCGAATCTGATTCGACCGATGGCAGAGATGTCTCATCCTGGAGAACAGCTTTCGAGATATTTTTGCCGACGGTCCAGCGACCGAGGGAGCGTCGGCAGAGGGGCGAGACGCTCCTTCCGACTGTTTGGGCAGAGATCAATAAATACCATCGCATGCAAGGTATAAAATGTGTACCGAGGGAATATTAGGTGCGGTCGAGCTAGGCCTTTCGGAGCTAAACAGACGATGTTTCTTCAGCTGCTTGCGAGCCATTGAGAACTCCGTATTCTGTGTAAGCTTTGTAGGCTGGGTTCGAGGTTGAGAGGTGTAAATCGGACAGTAGTCAGAGTCAGGTGTTGAAAGCGCCGACATGCTGTGGACACGTTTGCAGGTGGCACTGCTGGAGGCCTGGTGCCATGCGGGCCAGATACGTACGCAGTGACGCTATTCTCGATATCTAATGCTTATGATAAGAAATTCGACTCCTTCATGCTCGCGTTGAACAGAACGTTGACGCCAAGTCTACGAACATTTTCGCTATGCAGTGGGAGCTGTAGTACCTTGCGAGAAGAGTCAGAGCATTCAGTTTTGTAACTCGTGGACGAAGGCCCTAGTCATTGATCGACTTCAGTTCAACAGTAAGGATTCAGCTTTAGCTCACGGTTGGCTGTGCATTTCACAACACACGAATTCCATGTTTCGACGAGCTTGCGCGCTGCTTCGGTCGTGCACCGATTCGATGACAAACACAACGGATTTTGGAGAGTTAAGGACAGGTCTTAATGTAGTAGAAAATGTAAAGACTGCACTTGAAAATTAATTCAACAATTTTTCGAAGGCGAAACTTGAAGTTTTTGTGAACGCCTCGGTGTTTACCAATACTTCAAGTTTACGCACATGTATCGACGGGGTCAGAACGTCAATTTTATCTTCAAGTTTGGTAGTGGTTTGAATGTGCATGCAAACTTCCAATTTCGTCTTCACATTGCGACTTCAACAAAACATCAAGAATGAACTATGTTCGTGCGTTGACCAAGATTCCAAATATGCACAAACAATAAATACTCTGCCTAATTTTGAAGTTTGGGACGAGGACGAAATATTGATTGAATTGTAAAGTATGATGTACAGTTTATATGAATTGCCTGCTGGTCACCTGTTCATCACCCACCTGTTGCCCACCAGCGATCTGTTTATAGTACTATGTAGGCATTGACTATTAGACTACTGCCACCTTCATCCATGGGAAGTTTACCAGAGAGACCTCCAGTGCTTCCAACTGTCACTGGCTGAGCCCCTTAATCCAAGTGTCATCATATAAAGCAATCAGTAGACCTTTAACTGGTGTCCTGCCACTCTTGTGATTTCTGGGTGCATGAATTCGTCTCATTGGCTGAGACCCCTGTGGTGAAAAAGTGTCAACATCAAGGAACCACTGAAGGTCTACAATGTCAAGCTCCTGCTCGATGTGATGTCACCATTTCATATTCTTGATGCAAAGTACCCCCTCCACCTCATTCTCAACATCACTCTCTTCTGAACTCACACCATGTTCACCAAGGCATAGGACAAGGTCTTGCAGCCATGTCCAAGCTGCAGCATTGGCATCACCCTCATTGGTCTTCAATTTCATGATGTGTTCAAGAATAGTTGCCCTGCACATGAATTTCTAGCCACAAAACCATAAGCCAAAAGTATACAGACAAGCCAGTATCAGTGAAAAATGTAGCTTACATTGTGACAGCAGGTAGTCTGATGACTCAGTTTCAAAACCTCTTCTCTCTCCTCTATCAACCATGCCTCCATTTCAGCTGGTGTTTTGATGACACCATGCTTGGTCAACATTGGTTGGGCCTTCCTCCATGTCATCCTTAGTCACTTGTAGTGATCCACAAGTAGTGCTCTGAGATAGCATTCTGAGCACACTGTTGGCCAGTTCTCTTCCATTGACTGTGTATGCAGTTCTTGGAGAAGGAGATCAATTATGGTGCTATTCCATGGGGAGTTAGCATTATGCATCATAACAAAGACTAGCACATCAGAATCAGGGCTGGGTCCATCCTCAAATTCATATGAATGGATGTCAATGGGATCTGCTGAATTGTGGGTGACAAACTCAATGTCTTGAGTAAAATGGAGTTTCTCCTTAAACAGCCTTTGCACTTTGGCCTGTTGCAACAGTCAGTAAATGTCACCCAAAAGATGGGATTTGCATTACCAAATAGAAGCTACATTAATTGCTGGATTCTGCATCTCTCTCCTCCTGTAGCTCTTGACTCTCTGCATTCTTCCTCTGGGAGTGGGGGCTACATTTGGTATTCAGTGAGAACTGACCACTGCTGAGCATGCTTTTCATGGTGCTCTCAATCCCTTTGGTAATGGCTTCCATGAACTGTAACACCTGTGGGGGAATGTCACCTTGTGGACCTGATGTTTGAGGTTCCAGTGTGTCAAACTCCTGCTGCATGGAGGGGGCATGAGAAATATTGGGTGTGCTGTCCTGTAAAATACATGAGCTCTGGCCATCTGGACACCACAATGATCAAATTCTCACATCCATTGGTGTACTAACAAGACATGACTGGCCTGAGATTCCATAAGTTCACCTCAACTTCTTCAGTGTGTCAAGATTTGGTGTGGGTGTTGGCTGCGATACTAGCATGTTCAATTCTATGCATGGCCCAGTTGCTCACCAATGATACCCTTCCTACCCTTGTACTTCCCATTCATTAACACTGTAGATACAGAGTTGAAGACTTCATCCCTACTGATTCTATACATGGCCCAGCATTCACCAATGATACCCTTCCTACCCTCATACTTCCCATTCATTAACACTGTGGATACAGAGTTGAAGACTTCATCCCCACTAATTCTATACATGGCCCAGTGTTTGCCAATGATACCTTTCCTACCCTTGTACTTCCCATTTATTAATACTGTAGATACAGAGTTGAAGGCTTTGTTTAATCTTACAGTGTGTTGCCTTACATAATGTGTTGCTGGATGCCTCAAAGTCCAGTCTGAAATTTGTTTTGTCCTGTGTGTTTTTGCTGGACTGGTGACATCCATCTGGTTAGGGATTATAAAGTGCTAGTGTGGTTGTGACTTAGGTGCGCTTCAGCCATGCTTACATAATCACATTAGAGCATACATAGTGATACATTCCCTTCACTATTCCCTCAGTAGTTTCACACCTACTGAGGTAGCCTATAGGTTTCAATATATCTGTGGCATGGTCTGACCTGCCCATTGTTTTTTTGGGAGGTGTCTGATGATTCATGATTTGTAGAGGGGCTGATGTGCATGACTACATCCCTTGTTTGTGCTGTCCTCTTTGCCAGTACTAGTGCAGTCTCACAGTGATGAACATGATGCACCTGTCTTCAGCTTGGCTACCTGGATGGGATGGGCACTGAGCAGTTCCCCCCTATTACTGACCTTGACATTCACTTGTTCTCAGGATGCTTTGGAGTTGAAGGCTCATTCAGAAGCAAAGGTTGATGATGAAGCCATTCTGTTCTCAACTCCTGGCTTTACCAATTTCTTAAAAGCTGTTGTCCACATTTCATTTCTTCCCCACTGCATGCTATGTCTGGGGACCGTGCAGTGTTCCTACTCATTCCCCATGATTGAAAACTCAGTGATGCACACAAATCAAAACATGCACTAGGTTTAGTAGGCAAGACATAATTTTGTAACTTTACAATTGAGCATAAACTGACTTGACCTTGCTTGTGAATGGTCACTGCAAAACCCAAAGGTTCATATATCAATGTCTGACAGATATCCACCTGTGTCAGGTGGCAGAGTTGTAGGAGGAAAGTGTTTACCATTTAGCTTCTACCATTGGATGTTACCTCACTTTACCAAGGATGACTTCAGTTCAGAGGTGAGTGGATTGATGGAGAACCATACCTGTGTGGGTTGACCCTGCAGGAGTTTTGTTTCCATGCCATGGTTGGTCAAGAAGCTCTCATTGATACTGTTGTCAATGGTGGAGACAGGCTATATCCAATGATGTCTCATCAAGGTGCTGGAGGATGTCATGGTCTACTTTGGAAGTGCAGTGCATGATCCATTGGGTGATCTCATCTGGTTCATGTACAAAGAGATGGTTGGTGTGACCAAGGGCAGTCTGATATATATTGTCTTCTGCAAGAAATATCCTGCCATTTGTCAGGTCTTCACTGGTATACAAATGGTCATCAACTACTGGCTTTTGCATAATGATTTCAGTAACAGCAATGGTGATCTATTGCTGGACTGAAAGTGACAAGCTTCATCACCAAAGAAAATTGCAGAAAGGAAGCAGAGGGTCCAGGAGATTATTGATGATGGATATCACAACCACTTGAAGGCCATGCCTAGCATGACTATTCTAGAATCCTTCAAAAGTATGGTTGAGTGTGAATTTAACCTTGATTGTGACCATTCTGGTTGATATGTGCAGGAGCACTTGAAGGAGGACAACAATGTCAAGCAGATGGTTACTGCAGGATCAAAATGTTTATATATCAATGTCTTGCAGATGTCTGTCTGTGTTGGGCAGCAGAGTTAAAGGAAAGTGTATACCATTCAGCTTCCACCATTGGACATTACCTCATTGTGCAGGGAGTTCAAGCACAAGTACTGTGTTGATGTTACAGGCAAGAAAGGTGGCTTCCATGCTGGAGTTCTCCAGATTGGTATTGATTACTCCCCACTACATACCTGTCAAGTTGTACTGTTTGATGGAATCCTTTTGTTTCATGATGTGCAATTTGGTGATAGTGACACCTGCAGAGTCAGGGGAGGTGCACATTGCTTTGAAGGCATCTTTAAAGTCAGCAAAAGACCTGAAGTTAGGCAGGTTCTTTTCAAGGGAAGTCTTCTGGAAAATTACTGCCCAAGAGTGAGCAACTCCCTTTTTCATATATGACAGCACATAGACAACCCTTTTGGTGTCAGTGTCATAAATTTCTTTGTTGACCATGAGATAGGTCTGGACTGCAAACAGCCAGCTCATAGCATTCATTTGATCTCCATCAAAGTCAGAAGGAGCACCAATCTTCAGTTTGGTGGCTTTGACAGCAATGCCAGTCATAGCCTTCAATAATGATCTAGACATTGTAATCTGGGGTGGGGGTGGGGGTGCAGGAGCTGAGGTTGGTACCAGTGGGATGGGAGTGCCAAGCAAGGTTCAAGAGGATACCAGAGGTAAAGCCTCTATCTGAATGTTCAGGTTCATTTGAGGTGTCAGTAGCCTCCTGTTTGTCCTCAGATGAGGATCCTTCTTGTGTGGGTCACATCAGTGCCCAATGACAATTGTTTTAGGGGTTCATGGTGGTTCACTAAATAGTGACCTCTGGCCAAAGGCTGTGTAGACTTGAGCTTTTGTTGTGCTAGACTGCAGTCATGGTGTAGGTCAAGCTTAGTCACAGACTACATCAGGAAATTAACACTTTACTATTTTTGACTTTTTTGTGACTATTGTGACTATTTGTGACTTTTTGGGAAGGAGTCTACTATCTGTACTTTTTTTTTGACCATATACAGCATTTTGAAGAATGAAAAGAGAACAGAATCTATTGAGACAACTAAGTGATGATATATCTAAGCCAAGAAGACTAGAAAATGTCTGAAAATTCAGAGATATTGAGCCATTGGTGTGATGCACACTGTCTGAGAGAAAAATTCACAATATCTCTTTGGAACCTCCATCAATTTGAATGTATGTGGTATCTACTGAAAGCTATGAATTAGGTGGTTTGAACAAGACCAAAATCAGCAAGAACAGTGCAGCCATGCCTGCAGGACATGGGTAATGATAGTAGATTCCTTCCCAAGAAGTCACATTAGTCACAAAAAGTCAAAAATAGTAAAGTGTTATTTTCCTGATTTAAGGTTTCTACTGAGCAATGGCTGCAGTAACCTCCAGTAAATGACAGAGGATTTAGGCAACACCAGTAAGAGTGGTCCTTGTTAGGGACACTGAGGTCAAAGTTCTGAGAGAATGCTGCATATAATTGAGCAGCTCAAGTCTGGGGTTCCTGGACTTGAGCTGACCATCTAATACTGTACAGGGATGGACCATGAGGCAAGGGGGACTATTGCTACTGGTGGAAATAGGAGGCCATCAAAACAAAGAGGAGATAGCCACAAAAGGAAAAGTAAGTCCAATGGAAGGAAATGTGGTGCACAGCAGATGAAAACAGGGGCAAAACATAACACCATCCCCTTATCTGGAGGTCAGTTAGCATCCAGGTAGACAAGTCCTTAAGGTGTAGACAGATGATATGTTGATCTGTTTGGATGATGGATTTGGTACAGACACATGATCTGTCTTCAAACCATAGGTTGAGATTTTTGCTGAGGCTCAAGTGGATTTCATGAAGTCTGGATTTAGTACAGAAAAACTCTCAAATATTCCTGATGATCAGATTTGGTCAAGGAATATGGTTAGCTGCATTTGTATTACAGGCAGACCATCTTCCACAGTTTAGTTACTGTACCAACAGAATCTTATTTCTGCATTGACTGATATTACTGTGGAACTGGGGTCTCTGGTTTCCCTAACACACTGTACATTACTAGGGTAGCACAGTGGACTCCATGTCAAACTGTCATGCTCTGTGAATTTTTCGGGGGGTTTGCTGATGCAGTACTATGGTGTCTAGTTAGAAAAATGTGCTGCGCGTCCGGCAGGTTCCCGAAAATTATCCAAAATAGGACCTGCCAACGCGCGATTGTCCGGCTTTCCATAAAAAAGGAATACCCTTCCGAATGCACGCTTGACGTGCCCTGACGTGTACCCATCTCCAGTGATAACAGGAACCCTACAGACACTGGCATGATGGACGTCCTGCATTCAGGACTGGCTGCTTTGCAGCAGAAATTATCCTTCGTTGCAACTGACCCAATAGACTGGAAATTTTTCGTTCAGGGCTCTTCCTGGGTTGTCACGCTTTTTGAATCTTACCTCCTGTACGTGGCTGGCATTCATTCAGCAAGTTACAGTCATAGATGAGCTGAATACTGCTTTTAGAATTCGTCAGTACCCGCTGTACTCGAAGGCTTCGCCGCCAAAAGTGTTGGAGAAACATTTCGACGGAGAGGTGTTCCGCAAATCGCAGAACTATGGCAGGGACAAGGCTAAATTCTCACTTGTCACTGGCTTGTTAAAGCAAACTCTCGACTCTGCGTTGATACACAGTGGGTTCTATGCGTGGGCATGGGACTCCGCAGGAAAGATCATGGCATACTTCGGTTATGGAGGTGAATACGAGGTGAGGAAACACCGCTGATGATTTTAACCACTGTTGGCGATCCAAACTTTAACACACGCAGATCATTCAATCCCTCACGTTCTCTGCCATATTGTTTGTCGCATCTTCCATACCCAGCATTCCCATCTCTGTATATGGGACATTCGTTCTGGAGGAGAAGCACGGGTTTAACAAGACTACGCCGTCGCTGTTCGTAAGCGATCTACTGAAGAGTTGGGTACTGGCATTTGTCATCGGAGGGCCATTTCTTTCTGCTTTTCTCTATGTGTTTCAGTGGGCGGGCGACCGGTTCGTGCCATGGCTCATGGCATTCTTGTGAGTGTTTCCATTCCACTCTGTTAACGCACCGTTTAGAAAGATGCACAAACCAGATTATTCTTCCAAATTACCATGGTCATCATCTACCCGACCTTGATCCAACCGCTATTCAACAAACTGTCGCCTCTTTCGGACGGGGAGCTTCGCACACGCACAGAGGCCTTGGCTAGCAAACTCAAGTTCCCACTGAAACACCTTTACGAAATTGATGGTTCGAAGCGCAGTTCGCACAGCAACGCCTACTTCTTCGGTCTTCCATGGGTGCGTGTCTCGGATGTTTTGCGCTCGTAGAACTTTGGGCTTGATATTATCTATTTATGATACCCCAGAGCAAGCACAGTTGTCATCTTCGATACCCTTATCAAAGAGAGCAAGCCTGCGGAAGTAGAGGCTGTTTTAGGTCCGTAGCTCGATGTGACGCTTTCTCACCATGCCTTGGCTGACGTGCCGCCAACGTTTTTTGCGTATAGCCCATGAACTCGGACACTGGTATCATATGCACCCCACAAAACTCTTGTGCATATCTCAAGTCCACATCTTCACGATTCTCGCATTGTTCCCTGCATTCCTCCATGCACCACAATTCCTTCGGGCATTCGATTTCTCAGATAAAGTCGCTGCGCACCCGCCTACGATCGTTGCGTTCCTGCTCTTCCAGGTATGCCTCTTGTCTCCTACATGGATACCCTACATCTCACCAACGATTCCAATCTTCTTCCAAACCCCACAAGATGATCCTAACGCCGCTCGAAGCTTTCGTAGGTATCGGCCTCAACTTTATATCTCGCCGCTTCGAATGGGAAGCCGATCGGTTTGCATGTGAATTGCAAGATCGACTCAAGGACCCCGAGATGACGGACATGGGCGAGCGACTTGGTCGCGCCCTTATCGCGCTGCACGTCAAGAACCTTTCTACTGTTTGGGTAGACTGGCTGTACGCATTTCATTTTTGGAATTATCAAGACGAGATAACCTGATGTCGCTACTCTCTGCACAGTTATTCGGCATACCACCATTCGCATCCAACCCTTACGGAACGGTTAAAGGCGATGGAAAGCTTCCGTGTTAAAAGGGATGGACACGTCAAGAAAGAGCTCTGAATGCATTTTATGATACATCGTCGCGCTTCCTTCAAAATCGTGTATCGTATCATCTACTAGTTCGAACAATAGACAACAGATGCTCAAGCTAAATTATACTAGTACACGCCCTAACCAATGATTCTCCCATTATATACTATGTAAGTCGGGCTAACTATGACCCGCTAGAAGAGACCTCGCAGAAACTCTGGTTTATGGGGTGGTTGTGCGCATCTGCTCGACCTCGCTCCACATCAACACTGAGGAGTATGGGTACAGCGAGCCAAATCATAAAGACGAGGAAGAAGAATGCATAGCGAATGTTGCCGGTCGCATCTGCAATGAGCCCTACGATGAGAGGGCCAACGAAGGAGCTCGACTGATCGAGAAAGACGAATCAGTTACGTTTGTCCATGCAAGATTGGGGAAATTGTACCTTGTCCGTGATTGAAAATAGACCGTACCATCGTGCTTCTTCTCCTCGGGGAATGAGCTCGGCATAGCAAGCCCTCGCATAACTCTGGAACGCGCCGTACGCAAAACCTGGACATCCGCACACCAATAGAGATCGACGCCAACAGTTCTAGATTCATCTCCGGTGACTCCGAAAACACTAAAAACGACGCACCAAAATAAATTGCTAGCCCGAACATTTCGCCAGGTGTTGTGAGTCCTCCAAAGGGCAAACCCTTCACGATAGGAAGGAAACCCAAGCATCCATATGCGGGTATACACGAAACCATGATGACAAGGATGACGACAACCTTGAGGTTGGACCAAGAAAATTTGTGTTGGAGGTACGGGAACACGAGTGAGCCGCTGATTCCCATCGCAGGTGTGATGGCGCCAATGAGCACCAACCAAGAAGGTTCCATGTGTAACGTTGTTTTCCCGAAGAGGACTGCTGTTGAAGTGATCGTTGTGAACCCTATTTTAAAGGAGGATCGGGAACGCGCCAGTCAATACAACGGCACGACGACACGCTAACCAAGGAGATAGGGATATACCATCAGAAAGTAGGAACCACGCGGCGAGGTATCTGAAAGTATGTTGGAGTTGCTTGATTTGATTCCATCGCAGCATCACGCCCAACTTTTTCCAAGCGGCCACGATCTCAGACGATAGAGTCCATTGATCCCCTGGCTTTCCGGCGGCAGAGTCAAAAGAGACGACATCGTCGTGCGTACCGTTGGGTAGCCATATAGCTGCAGGTATTGAAAAGACGGCCCACCAGGCACCGCTAAGCCCAATAGCGAGACGAAGAGAAAACGTTGAGCCACGAAGTTTTGTGACAGGAATCAGCGAAAGCAGTAAGAGGATTATGCCAGCGCCATAGCCAGATGCGATTCCCAGCGCAGAGATGCGGGAAGTAGCCCGGGAAAGCGTTGCATTGAATGCATTCTGATCGATCTTGGGAGGTGTTGATATGCCCAGTAAAGGGGCAGATACAGAATCCTGACTAGACACCAACGGCTGTTCGTCCTCGACTTCGACTGACTCAGGAATAGATTCCGACGAGGGATCCAGTTCTCCGAGGTGCATACGTGCATCAACTACTTCGGGGGACGCATTCGCGAGGGATGGAAGGTAGGCGTTCATGGCGACAATGGAAGCACCGAAGCCGACATTTGCGAGAATGGCGAACACGGCGCATAGGAACCATAACGGTGACTTGGAGGACAAGGGTAGAAATAGCATTGCAGAGAACGCGCCGATGAAAGCGAACGTGAGCAGGAGTGGTTTCCGGCACGTCGCTTGGTGTCCGGTAAGTACGACGCAGCGTGAGCTACAAGCACAGAAGATGGTGACATACGTCTGTCGGCAACGCTGCCCATCGAAATGACCGTCAAAGCCTGAAAAGCGACGGACATAGAATATACGTATAGACTGCAGAATGAGTAAGCTCCGAGACACGAATGAAAGCTCGAAGAGTACCTGAAGCTGGCGGTGTCGATCCAAACCCACCCAATCTTAACCGCACACCTCTCATCCGCATATGAAGTCCCGCTCCCTGACGAGGACGAACATGGCTGGACGTATTCTGGACTTAGGTAGCCATTGTCACTTGCGAATTGTTCCAAGCAGATGGGTAAGAACAACGTCAAAGAAACGACGACGAATACCTCGCTGCGAACAACATGAGCTGGTCAGTGGGTAACCTAACTGGCTATTTACCTTGCAAATGCATAACTCAGCCATCCCAGAAGTCGGCGCTTATATGGGCTGAGCATCATACGATGACGATGAGCAGATGCACGCCTCGCCAGATACTACTACTGACACGTGATCTAAGAGAGAGCCCCTGAGGACAAGAAAGATGACATGTGTGTATCCCGCATGACGGACGAACTGAAGTAGAACAGAGCAAAAAAAAACAGGTATGTAGTAATGGACACCTCCACATTCGACCGCTAGCAACCCACGACCCATGTACAAAGCAACAGCACTGCGAGCTAGCAAGCACCACCACCGAGCTAACAGATGGGAATCTGCATTAGCCACTTCCCGTGATACGCGAAGTTGACGGCACAACTTGCCTGTTCCAGCATTGCATCTATCATGTCACCATTCTCCATCCCTACCTGTGCCCTCGTGATGAGTACAAAGTAGCTCCGGACAAGATGCGCGACGAGCCTCACCGAAGCAGGGGTTTCTGTGGGGTTCAATCTCTTCCCCTCGAAGACAAACTTAAAGGTCCCTATTGGGCGGTCACTGGAGGATGATCGTATGAGATACATGCGACGCACCTGGATCCTTCCCAAAGCGTTTCTACCCCGAGACAACCAAACCAAATCGTGGCATCTGGATGAGAGTACACACGACACCACCAACGCAAAACGTACACACCTCTGCAGCGTCGAATATTTTCTGGAATGGCATGTTCTGTTTCACTTTGACCGTAATGTCTGCTCGTCTCCAAAGCTAAGTACTACACACACGGTCGTGCCCGAGGAGAACAGTGGCGGAATGTACTGACGAGTCCCTTCGTAGTTGAGGACCAAGTCCAGCTTCGGCTTGACATCGTCGTTCTCGTTCGCCATGATAATTTACCAAGCAAGTAGGATATGTAAAAGCACGGTACTCCAGACGCGTAAAGAAACGCGTGCCCAAGTGGCTGCACCGCGCCTTTCCCACGGGCCAGACAGGGAAACTAGTCTCAGGACCATCTCACAAATGCGGGGCAACGAAAAGAGCCAGTCCCAGAGTGATGGGTATACTACGTTGGAAGAGACGTACATAGGATTAAAAGGAAGGCAAAACATACGATACTTGCATGAGGAATGCCAGGTCATCCTGTCTAGGAGAACTTCCATCTAGATGACACAGTCAAGCATAGCCCATGGCAAGCTGAGAGAAATACTAACTTATGGCCGCAGTTGACGCATCTGCAAAAAAAAGATCGTTAGGTGACACACCTACGATGAGAAAACGAGCAACATACGTAACGAATGTCTTTTCGCGTCGTACATGTCATCGTCAGCCTCGAAAACGCTGAGGGACGAGTACTTACCGTCATCGGTTCGTCAGCACTCCTAGTCTGCGCTTGACGGTAACGGCACTTGCGCTATTGCAACGTCAGAGCGGCGAAAGAAACGACGAGCATTGAATTTCACCTGTTTGCAACGGCCGCATTGGAAACCTTCGGTTTCCGCCTCTTGTGCTCCTGCACCGAGGGACTTGAACAAGTTTTCTTCTTTGATCTTCTGATCGGTGGCACGCCTCTCCTCCGACATCATTTCCTGCATGGCAAGGTGAGCGACACGCCGATAACAAACGGGGCAAGCATGACGTTACCTCGCTGGTCATTTTACTAAACTTTTCCGGGGATACCTCCCCGCTGACGATGCTTTCACGGAGATTTGGGTTGCCTTTGTCTTTGAGATTGACGAACAGAGATCGGACCTTGCCCTTGTATTCCGGACTGGTACGGCCGAATTGGGCAAATACAGCCTGTTCAACCCCTTTTGCACGGCCGAGGATGAGGTTAGTTGCTATGTTCAGCACATCAGTGGCGATAGAGACGAAGAAAACTCGGATGAAGAGCTTACGAGCAGCGGAATCGCACGCTAGACCGTCGTAGATAAGCTCGATACATCTGTCCCTCATAGTGTCCCCGGACACTGAAATCTTAACGCCGTCGCTCTTGGCAGTCCTCACCTCGGACTTGCCATTCGATGCGGGCGTCACACTACCGCTCGCCGGGGTCGCAGATGCAACAGGTTTGCGAGGTGCTGCTACATGGATCGTGTGATCAGGTGGCGATCGCATGCAGAACACGTCCGCACCTCCTGTCGATTTGGCGTTGGCGGTTGACTTGCTGCCAGACCCGCCCTTTGCCCGTTCCACCTCGTTCTTCCACTTTTTGACGATTTCTTTCGCGAGGTCAGATATTTCCTTAACGTCGTGAGTTCTAAGTTTGCCGACAGCGAGACCAGCTTTGCTCTCCTGTTCATCCGTTATCGATTAGGGCGCTAAAAAGATGAACGACGAAAGTGAAATACCCACCCTCAGGATTGATTCATTGACTTGGAAGTTTTTCTTGAGAATCTGCAGAATGGACACTCTTTCCTGTCATCGCACGAATGTCAGTAGATAAACCCAATGAGAGCGCCAGACCTGGGGAGAAAGACTTGGACATACCTCATTGGTGGTGACACTTTGGAGATCCTTTACAAGCTTTTTGAGCTCAGAGACATCAGACATAGCTCACAGACACGCGCAGAGTCTCTCTACTGCTACTACCGACGACGACAAAGTCTAACCAGTCAGTCCTCCAATCCAAGTCAGACGACAACACGAACGACGATGACAGAACCAAGTGTACTCCCTTTCCCGTACAAAACCAAACACATACAAACACACCGTCCACCCAGCCAAGATTAGTAATATTCAATGCTGGGATACACACCTCGACATGTCATTCACAAGCACTTTACCACCACTGGAACCTCTGCTCAGGCAAAGTGCACAGGGAGCACAGGCCATATTTGCATCTTGTCCAGATGACAGTCTCAAGGATGAGGAACAGAGGTGTGTGCCCCTTCACTCCAGTACCTTTTCCCTTCCGACATATCTCCCAGTGCACGCTTGCGGTTATCTGTAAAGATAAACGACGAGTACAAGCATTACAAGGACCTTCCGCCAGCGCTGCTAGCTCAACAAGGCCCCGTGGGCCCAGCAAGACCAAACCCTCACCAAAAAGCCATCACAGCAGGTCCAGCATCGAGCGAAACTTCCATGATGATTGCCGCTATCGACAACACACCAAAAGCACAACCATCCACTTTCGTAACGGCCAGCAAACTATCAGAAGCCCTCACATTGCACAAGACGACGCGAACTGTAAAACCACAGTTCCACCCACAATGGAAGTTGATGCGCGTCATATCAGGGCATTTGGGCTGGGTACGTAGTGTCGCTGTCGAACCAGGGAACAAGTGGTTCGCGTCTGGTGCTGGAGACCGTGTCATCAAAATATGGGATTTGGCGTCTGGAGAACTCAAACTGTCGTTGACGGGTCATATCTCTACGGTCCGTGGGCTCGCCGTTTCCCCACGTCATCCGTACTTGTTCTCGTGTGGTGAGGACAAGGTACGCTTTTACTCGCTAACCACTCTGCCTCCCACCAAATATTTGTATTGCACCCTCCAGATGGTCAAATGCTGGGACCTCGAAGTCAACAAAGTCATCCGACACTATCATGGACATCTCTCCGGGGTGTACTCTCTCAGCCTGCATCCAACTTTGGACGTCCTCGTCACAGCAGGAAGAGATGCTTCAGCGCGCGTGTGGGATATGCGTACAAAAGCCCAGATACATGTATTAACCGGTCACACCGCTACTGTCGCCGACGTCAAGTGTCAAGAATCTGATCCACAGGTCATCACAGGCAGTATGGATACGACCATTAGGTAGGACCCTCCAATTTAACTACCCTCAAACGTGCCATCTGACTCATGACTATTCAGATTGTGGGATCTAGCTGCCGGGAAAACAATGGTTACGCTGACTCATCACAAAAAGTCGGTCAGAGCACTCGCCATTCATCCAACAGAATACTCGTTCGCATCTGGTTCTGCCGGAGGCAATAACATCAAGAAATGGAAATGTCCCGAGGGGGCTTTTGTTTCCAACTTCTCCGGTCATAACGCGATCATTAACAGCCTCTCCGTAAATTCGGATGGTGTACTCTTCTCAGGAGGTGAGTCAACCAAGTCTCATTGGTTTCATCATGTTGATCGATGGCCACTTATTTATTTTTATTTTTATCAATCCCTTTTTAATCTACAAGGGGATAACGGCACCATCACATTCTGGGACTATGGTACTGGGACCGCATTTCAAAATTTGGACGACGTGCCGCAGCCCGGTTCCCTTGAGGCTGAGGCTGGCGTGTTTTGTTCGACGTTTGACATTACTGGGACGCGGCTTATCACAGGTGGTGCGGACAAAACCATCAAGGTTCGCAGCCATTTCTATTCCCCCTGTCTCTCTGAACAACAACTGACTCACAATGTTTTAGATATATGCAGAGCAGTCGCAGTGATCACTACGCTCGCATGTCTTGTTCACTTCTCTCGTTTCTATGTGTATCATTATTGCAACTGACTTTGCAGAATATATACTACCCACACCCAAATCAGACAGTAGTGGTACAGAAAAAGTACATGCATTGTTTTGAATTGAGTACATGCGCCGGAACGCCTATCGTACACTTGGCTACAGAGGAACAGTGTAGATGACAGTGAGACAGACAGACAGGAAAAGAGCCCAAACGACTATGTAGCAACTGAGCATCGCCATCAAGAATGCCAACGAGTACTATGAGACGGACACGAGGACGAAAAAAAGAAAAAAGAAAGGAAAAGTCAAATTCGGAGTGTCTCACCCACCCAAAAAAAAAAAAATCAAATCAAATCCAGAGACATCAAACGAAGAAAGATACATGTCCTGTTGAAACGAAACAGGCATTTGGTCCGCGGAGGAGTAAATTTAACCGGATGAATTCAGACAAGCGTCACAAACTTTAGCCGTGCTAGCCGGCCCAGCCCTGTAGCGAACTGAACGAACTGCCGCCAAGGATAGCAGGAGAATTTCCCTTGCTCCTGCTAGCTACCGGTTGGGTGGAGCACGCGGCGTAATTCAAGCTTGTTGTTGATGACACATGCTGTTGTGGAAAACTGGTGCTGTCTACATGCATAGTAGAGGTGGCACACACGATGATTATGAACCGCGGACGGTGAGAAGAAAGATCAGTGAGCCACATTGTGGGGGAAGAAAATCCAACGCACAAACTCCATCCATCATATGATTGTCACCTGGCGCAAACGAAGGCTGGCTCAACGATGAACAGTGGAGAGCTGCTTGCAGTTTTGCGGCTGTCGCAGCCTCGAGCTCAGGAGAAAAGAGGAAAGGTGCGTCACCAGCGTCCGTATACCGCGGTGTTGCATTCCAGGTAGACAACGACGCGGACGAAGAAGGCTGCTGGGATGAGACACTGGTCACAGGGGTCGTCAGAGCGATCCCGGATCCTGGGTAGTCGACCTGGGTATTGGGTGATGACATTGATACACATGGGAAACCGGATGAGGAGGCCATAGTCATATACCCTGGAGATTCTGGATAAACAGCCATCACCGGTGGGGCGCCGTGGGGAGTGGAAAGAGGCGTTGTCAATGCTGGGATAGTTTTCGTGTCAGACGGAGATATCCCTCGATGATGCCTCGGACTCCGGCGGGCAAGAGAAACTGGATCAGAAGGGCTCGAAGTCCTTTCTGGACTTCGAATTTTGCCGATGCCGCTCTTATTCAATCCAGACTTGTCATCTGAACCGACGGGAATGGATAGAGGCGTCGGGGCTTGTCTGTACTTGGCTCGCACAGGTTCTTCACGGCAAAATGGCTGCCTTGGCGTCTGAGTGCCGTATACTTTCTTCCTGCTCAATCCATGTATTTTCTGCAGCGAACTGACTAAACTTGGAGGGGCGACACCCTGAGGTGTGAGAGGCGCTTCGGGAGAGGAACGCATAGCTTCCAGAGGGAAGGTCTGGTGACGATGAACAGGCGGTCGTGACGGGGAGGTTAGGTTCTGCCAGCCAGCGTCAGAATAGAAAAGAAGCTTGAGTCGCCCGTACCTTGTTCACTGGTGGTGTGGGTAGCTCTACACTCGTAACGATAGTCGACATTTGTCGAGGTCGTGCAGCGTGACATGCAGACAAGTAGAAAGAATAGTCAACGCTTGGCGAAAACCAAGGCTTTACAGACTGGTGGTTTTGAAGTTGCATCTGTTTGACAATGTGAGGACATGTGAGCGCTCGGGTTGAATGGCCTTACATTAGCGATGAAAAGTTGTTCTAAAGACCCCATATTTTGTGAGGAAGAAAGAACCATGTGACAAAAGATCTTATTCTGAAGCGTGGCTCAATGTGTTGCTCCGTACTTGCTGGTGAGGACGCATTACCTGTGCCAGTTTTTCCGCCATTAGTTGCCATTCCGACTTGCCAGCCGGGACAGGAAACGTGGGACGCGTGTTCCACGTGCCCTCCAGCGGGGGTGAGGCAGCAACGATGATAAGGTGGAAGGCTACGAGTCCGTTTGGGAATCGCGCTCCGGCCTCCAGCATCAACTGTCCGGTCGTCAACGGTATCCAGAGTAGTAAGAGAGAAAAAAGACAGCTCGACCGACGTACCTCTATCGAACGATTAATGATGCGAGCAGAGACTCTGTTTCCGGCTTGGAAACTGAATTTTAGGTCCGGAAGTTGGTTAAACTGTCTGGGCGGCGCAGACTGTGACGAGGAATCGCCTCCAGCCGGCGCAGTCGTCAACCAGAGAACTGGAATCTGAACATGATAAGGCTAGAGCCTAAGAGATGAAAGCAGGGACGAACGGGAACGACAGGGTTTGCCGCCCTCATGGAGCCGAGGAGCGTGGGTAAGTAATGACCTCGCAGATTTCCCCAAGCAGGGACCATTTCTTGCGAGTTTTCGATTAGAACTAAGGTTATTACGGCCTCAACTGCGACGTCAGACTTGAATATAGTCGCTGCGGAGCCACTAGATGCCATGATCTCAGGTATCGTTGGCTCCCAAGCAGTTCGATAGCAGGGAGGTTCGAAAAGAACCGTCGGAGAGCTGCAATCTATGCACAAAACGAGCGGGAATGCAAGTATCGGGTTTGGGGGTCAGGAGGGAGTGAGTGGGCGTTGCGAAGTTTATGGGTGCAGCTGGCGGACTTTCTATTTGGGCGATTATGAGCCTGACGAGAGATGAATCTCCGGTCAGCAATCCGATATCAACTACCCTCCTTTAACTCGACAAGTTGATACCTTGCAAGAGTTGGCACTCCTTAAAAGCGTTAACAACAGAACCTCAGGATACCTGCGCTGTCACGATCACCTCCTGCTACTGTAGTCCCTGTCTACGTCGCAGTTGACTTGACGCAAATCGACCGTGCTGGAAAGCTCAGTGCTTATGAGGGAGAGATTTTCCTCCTTTCAAAGGCCACCAATCGATATAGAGTAATTTGGGTCAACTTACAGTAGCGGGTTGGATGTCACAATAAAACCAGGGTCCGGGGACACGCCTCCGGCTGGTGATCGTGGCGGGCTGGGGTGCGCTCACGTGGCGAACACGATTGATATATTGATAGCCGAACGTTGGCCGAATTCCCTGGGGCCTCAGGGTTGCCGAACGCGCACCAAGGCTGAGATCTTGAGACTGCGCAGTCGGTCGTTACACAGGTTTCTTTCTTCGACTGGTCGATACTGCGCTATAATCTTATGGTTGTGCGCGCAGTATGAATAAGTGTTGACCGATTTTATGTTGATGGCGCTGATTACCAACCCCCTAATCACTCTGGATCAGCTCTCAGTCGACAAGCTCTAAGCTTCGCAACCTACTTCGTTTGTCCATGAGCGGGTTTTGCATGGTATGTAGGCCTTAATTTACGCGCTTCGACTGACAGCCAGATTCGCATCCGCAGCTGGATTGGCGCGCGACTCCAGAAAAAACATTTATTTTCTGTCGCTCAGCATTCGTTTTCAGTGTAGTGCGCCACATCCAACCTTGGTCGACGGGAATGGGAGGGTAGGAAAACAGGTCGTGCAATTTTGGCGGGGATCCAGGTCTGTATTTTGCGCCTCTATCCAGCTGCTTTCGTCTGGGTATCACTACGTATCGCTGGCGAATCGAGGTTGGAAGGGACAAGCCGAGTCTTCAGCGCTGCATGGCGCTCTCCTGTGTACCGATATCATGACATGGAAGAAATGTTAACCATTATACATGGCTTCCACAATGGATTTCTCCCAGGCAACCTGCCAATCTCACAGGGCCACAACTCATGTGCCTTCATGTACGCTCCACATACCAGAATTTCAGATGCCTATCACGTCCTGCACGTCATACGAGAGGCACGATAAATCAGCTTTGTGCCCGGGACCTAGACTTCTCCGGTTATAAGTGTTGTAGTGCCGACAACAGCGCGCTCTTAGATCGCAGGTGCGCTTTTTGTGGGCCCACATTTACCCATGGCCCGTCTGGGTGAGTCAACCATTCCCGGGCGTGCGCTGGTCAGATGGTCCTACGGTTCTTTGCCAGTTTCCGTTTGCAATTCTGGCCATGGCTTTTTTTTAACTCTGATGAGGGATGTTTCTTCTTCCAAAAATTTGTTATGCACCTTTCCCCCTCCGAACGCGAAGGATACATGAAAGGTCATCGGAACCAGCAGCGGATTCCCCGATCTTCCTACCCAAGCCGAGTCTCATACTCATTCACAGAGTCGGTGTGCGTATGGGCATCATTTAGGGATGGAGGAAAGTGGTTTCGATCGCGGTATTTCGGCTAGTAAGCACAGCCTGTGTCGGTCGAGCCAGCGGGTGGAGTCCATCGTTTCGATTCATGTCTTAGTCGCTAACAGTAGGGTGGTGAGGTATGTCCGCCCCTTGGCTTTTCCAAAGTGCGTGCTACTACGTTTGGTTCGGACGGCCACATATACGGTGTTACATGGTTCTTGGTAACAATAATACAAGAGGTCCCATGCGAGACAATATCCCCAGTATAAGTGTTTCAATAACTCTCGTGGCTCGATTGGTTCAGTCGCAGGCCTTTTATTAGTTTGAAGGGATATAACAAAACAAGTGAGAAACATCCCTGGATAGCGGCGGGAGATATGACAACTGGGGAAGCTTCTGTGCTTGGCCTGTGGGCCCTGGATAATCAGGAAGAGTGAAAGCGAAAATACAAAGATTACCCACCACTGAAAGGAGTGATTTTCGACACTGTAAAGTGTAGGCGGTACTTATACCTCGTCGGAGACTCTGATAACCGAAGCCAGGTTTCGTTTGCTGGCGGTCACGGTGATCACCTCAATAGCGATGGAGGCTGTTAGAGGTTTTGCTGAGGGAGTCACCGCGCCTGAATGGGTCAACAATAACTCTAAAATTGTTGTTGGTGACATCGCTGATAATGTGCTTTGGCTTGCTTGATCGTAGTTGAACGCTACCAGGGTTGGAGGCTCACATACATCGTGGCGAGAGTGGAAGACTCACGAATGGGTTTGGGACAGGAAAACGACAGGGAGCGCCAGGGAACACCTGTAACAGACGCCATACCTAACGGCGCCGGATGACGCGAACGACAGGTGAAATTAAACTCTAGCTAATAGTGGAGTCTCGATTGAAGGCAGCGGTTTCTACGCTGGGTCTCAAGATTCCAAAAGGGGCTAGAAAATTCCATTGCCCTATAGTCAGCATGAATGAACTTTTTCTGCCAAGCAAATGAACTTACGCAGGGCTCGCTACCTAGGCCCGAACGAAGTAGTACAAACAGTTAGGATGGGGAGACTAGAAACTCGGCCTTCATACTTGCCACGATATACTGGCGGGAGAGTGTGGTGCACACAGAGAGTTGATGCATCGATGGATAGCGATAATTACACACCGGGAGAATTCGCGGAGATTCGACTTGTTCACCTCAATTGGCCAGGTAAGGTCCAGAGCACGGCCTAAGTTCCCCACGCCAATCGGCAGCCTGAGACTCCTAGGATTGTTCAGTAAGTACTTACCAAAATGACCCTCAGAAGATGGTGCAACCGACACAAGCACAGGCGTCCAGGTTAGTCTCTGCCATTCAATATAAATGTGGAATAATATTTATCTGGAGCCGACTCGTATCTGGCTCAATCCTTACGTTGATTGCGCGGGCGATTCAACACGCATCAGGGGGACAGGGAACTGTGGATTCACGGTCACGGCCGGGCAGTGACAGGTTTAAATCATCTATTCGCTTACTGATGCGGCCGAATGACGAGTCGGGTGCCAAACTTGACTGACCAGCGAGTGCCCAGCGAAGGTAAATTTCCCGAATGCTGTCTAAGAACTGGTGTGTATCTGAGCTCTTGGTGACCGCTAAATTCTAGTCCCACACTTATAACGGAGACTCCCCCAGAGCGTCAGAGAATGATGAACCAGGGCCTAGCAGGTCATTGATTAGTTTCGTGTCGATCATGCCTTCTGCACCCAATACAACTAGAAGTCGCTAGTCCAATACAATTGATCATTACATAAAGTTCTAATGACGGTAAGTAAATAAGCATTTGAAGGAGTAGAGTAGGAAAACTAAAGTCTCTGACAGCCGCACCAGGGTCAACAGCGGTGTTGAGTACGAGGCAGGTGCGACCAGTTCGCACTACCGGTCGCCTTGCTCGCCATCCACAATCTGTAAACACTTATTCCTATCACTTGCAGCACGCAGTCAACTCGCGAAATTACGCAATATCAACACTTTCCCCCTCTTTAATTTGTGATCGTAGTCAGTGACTGATCAATCTGCAGAGTCTCCGAGTTATACAGGTCCCAAGTACGAAGGCTGGAGGGGCCACTAAATAATAGGTCATCGGTTTTCTCCGAATTTGTGGCCTCCATTGGTAAGTCGTTCCACAATTAAACCCAATGTTAACAAGGATGCACGGGCAGTCTTCAAGGTATCACCCCATGGAACAAACCTTATGGACGGTGTCTTTCTTCAGGCTGTTGCAGGGACGACTTCTCTCAGACTGTAACTACTTGCCATGGTTTGTGGTTCGTGATACGCTTTATCTGCGACTTTTCATTGATCATCAAATCACCCCCCTAACTACCTCATCATCGGAGAAACAAATCTTATCACAACCTTCTTGTGCAGGTATCCTCAATGTTTTCATCTGAAAGTAGCTAATTGGCGCTCGCAATAATGTTAGTATATGTACATCTCAATCGCCACTCAATATACTCTACTGTAGCGGGATAATTAGAAGTCTGGTATCGCTGGCAACACACCGTATCTTCCCGATATCAGCGTGAGAAAGAATCGCTCAGTACCCATAATAGGGGTTATAGTGTCGATATGTCCTTCTCCCTGTCCTCCGCCGTGGACCACCACATCTGCAGCAAAGGATGTCCAATATGACATCAACTATCGTCACAATGATCTGAGAGGACAGTTGAGCCATTCACGCCCGACACGACAGCGGAGGAACCAACGCACCATAGTGAAGGCACCAACGATAGCCATGAGCAAGTTTGCTATCGCTGCAATTATGGCATTCAGTCCATTTCCTATCGCTGAACATACACTGCCCTGCGTGTCGAGACCGCTTAAGAACCACTAAATTACTATAGAGTAGATGACTTACCATGTTGTGAAACGCGTAACGCCTGTCGTAGTCACTTCGTGCCCAACGCCGGTATGAATGTGTTTGGAAAGGTGGGAACTCATGGTGCGGGGGCTATTTTATACACGCGGTCGGGCTGTGGTACTTTGACGTATAGGAAGCCTTGCGGTCACCCGGTGGGCACCTCGTTGCACGGCCATTGCCATTTTGCGCAGAAACGCAGGGAGTAAATGTGGCACCACAACAAACAACAAATGCTAGTCACGAGGAACAAATGGTTCCGTGTGAAGATTGGTCAGTTCGGCTACTTCATTTATCATTGCTTCAATTGTCACCAGTGCTGCCGGAAGTCGACCAAGCAGCATTCTGAAGCGTAATACAACTCTTATTCTCCGCGAGGTGGGAAGCAACAGTGGGAGAACTGGGAATTCTTAGAGTAACCCACCGGCGAGCGGAATCATTTTTGCAAGACGCTGTAAGATAAGAGATATTACCTTGTCTCACAAATGGCACAAGTGACTCAAAGTGGCGAACGCAACTTGCCAAAGGGGGAGAAAGAAGACATAACGCAAGGACTAGGGCACTGAGTGATGGATGTGGATTAGCCCTTTACATAATATCTGCCAACAGTGGGCGTATCAATCTACTTGCGCTATGTATAACGGCCTCCATTATATGCCGGTTGTTCACAAACTTTGCAAGCGCGAGTGAAGTCTCAAAACCCCAGCCAGACTGACGTTCACTGGAAAATCAATACCCGCCAGCGAATAGAAGAATTGCCCTGGGATGACCATAATTGATTCTCCTTGGAACATACCTGAGCTTGTCAAATTGAAACGCTCGAACCTCGATAACACAGATAAATAAGTGAATGGAAGGAAGACGCCCTGTCGAGAACATCTGGCCAGTGGCTGAACATCAAAGGATCCAGTTGCTCCCGATCTATATATGGCCAACCTCGAGGAGAATGCACCTGGAAAGAACTCTCTAAAACGGGTGCAATCACAGCAAAAAGAGATAGATGATATAGGATACGAACGTGCTTGCATGTGGCACTAGACGGATCCGAAATCGGTCGACGGTAATACTTGTACCAGAGGGGAAATCTCGGTCTGCAGAGCTAGTACTGAACAACCACCTTCGTAAACCTTACGTTGGCACTGCACCCTAGATTAACCAGTACTCGTTTTCAGAGCGGCACGGGACAGAACGTTGCCTCCGAGAAATTAAGACAGTACTCATGCACCTCAGCCACCCCACTAAATAACATACTCGCTTTCATTACCTTCTAAGCTACCTGTTTGGATGTGCGAATTTGATATTGAGAGGGTCATAGTTCCGGTGACGTCAGATGGAAGTACGTGCTAAGCAGAAACCGAAGTACGTTACCAGCTTATCAATTATCACGAGTAACGATACCACAGAAATATTCACAGGAAGGAAGCAAGGGGGGCAGGCAAGGGGAAAGTGTAGTTCTGACTTACTAAGCAACATTCGGTGGGAAATTTCGTTTTCGACGACCACACTTGGGTCTGTTACTCACACTCAGCGAGCAAAGGCCCAGTAGCATCCCTTCTAGTCGCCTGCTATGACCAATAGCCAATACCGGTGGCGATGACCGACCTGTGACCAAGGATCAACCAGTTTTACTGGTTTGTCAGGTGAAATCACAAACAATCGACGAATGACTTGAAATGAGTCATCCCGTGGTATCATCTTTTGGATAAGCGCACAACTGCAACCTCCTGTAGAACCAACCTGCAACGTTGAGGCTCGGAAGATATGACTACGACCAGTTCAATGATCGTCGGAGAATATTATCGCGGTGGCAACTTCGCAGTACGAGAGGTAGAGAACGACAGAGTAAAGCTCGTACCATTCGTGGTGAGTTCTATCACGCGCGCGCGCAGGGGTGCAAGAGTGCTGAGGGTCGATGTCGACCATCATATGTAGTCATCACTTCATGCCGATCTCTTCTTCCAAGGCTCGGTTAACCATCCAGAGCTTTTCCGTTTCCTTCCCTATGGACCTTATGACTCTGCGGCAGAATTCGTCGAAGGGTTGATCGAGGGTTTTATCAACTCTGATCCGGGCGCCGCTCTCTATGCCATCATAGACAAGACACACAGTTTCCCTCACTCTCCTTCTCCTTCGCAAGCCGATTTTGCGGGGGTGATTGGTTACCTTAACACAAGTACCACGCACCTCAAGACTGAAATCGGCTGTATCACGATTCTTCCACCCTTCCAGCGCACACATGTCACCACGAACGCAGTCGGGCTGCTGATGGAGTACGCGCTCAACCCTCCTTCGTTCTCTGGGCTGGGTCTTCGGAGAGTACAGTGGCAGGCAAATGAGTTGAACTTTCAGTCTGTTCAGACTGCGGAACGGATGGGATTCAAAAGGGAGGGGACACTCCGTTGGGATAGAGTTCTACCCAGTGATAAAGGAAAACCTGGGAATTCCACTCAGTCAAGGGTAGGGGACCCGAAGTTGGACTGTGTTGGGAGGCATACAGCGATACTGGCGATATGCTGGGACGATTGGGAGAACGGAGGGAGAGAGGAAGTACTGAGGTTAATGGCGCGCCGAAACTAAGGCTCTGAAAATTCATCTTTTACAAGTCCCCCCGTACAAGCCTAATATTCTGACGACGCAAAGAATTGATATCCATTATACAAGTGACCGTCGAATCCCTTCCATCTCTGCTGTGCAAACTAAGCTAGCAGAAGTGTACTGTTGCATCTTTGGCGGATGTCGATGAGCCTCCACAGAAATCTTAGTACCATTTTAAACTTACATACCTGCCATTCCTGGAAATTGGTCTACGTCCATGAATAAGAGGAAACTTCCTCGCAGTACGACAGTACAGATATGCGTCTTGGTGAGGGTCAACAGCTATGCCGTGACAACATTGGAATGAAAGTGAGTTACCGAGGCTGACTAGTGCAGTCACGATTAGCTCTGCTGTTGTCGGGTTTCCCACCAAGATCTGAAACGGAGGTGCGATCAGCGGAATCGGTGAGTCATACTATGGCACTGGATAGACACAGGCTCTTGTCCCGTAGCTTTCTTCGCATGTACTACTGAAACTCGCAGGCGTCATCGATTTCACATATTCGATCATGGCTAGCTCGATGGTCGTAGGTGACTTACACAGTGCCAACTTCCAATTCCCAGTCCGAGAGCTCCAAAATGACAGAATAAGACTCGTGCCATTCGCAGTGAGTCTCATTGCAGGGAAACCCTCCATGCCGAAAGAAAAGCTGACACCACAATATTACTGCAACAGACGACTCTGCATGCTGAACTTTTCTTTCAAGGATCGGTCAACCATCCCGAGCTCTATCGGTATCTTCCCTACGGACCTTACGAGTCTGCAACCGAATTTGTCGAAACCTTCATCAACAACCGAATCCGTCCTATTCCCGGGAATATTCTCTATGCGATCATCGACAAGACACGCAGCCACCCAGATTCACCTGCCCCTTCGCAAGCCGATTTCGCAGGAGTAATAGGCTACCTCAACACAGATATGAGCAATCTCGAGATCGAGATAGGTTTCATCAAGATTCTTCCGCCTTTCCAGTGCACACATGTCACCACCAACGCAGTTGGGCTCCTACTCCAATATGCGCTTAACCGACCTTCGCATCTTCACGCCCCTGGATTGGGATTAAGGAGAGTGCAATGGCAGGCAAACGTACTGAACTTGAAATCTATCCGAGCAGCGGAGAGAATGGGGTTCATGAGGGAAGGCGTGTTGCGTTGGGATAGGGCTTTGCCGGCTGACAGAGGAAAAGTTGGAAATGGTGCCCCGTTGAGGGAAGGAGATCCGGAACCGGAAAAGATGGGGAGACATACGGCCATACTAGCAATCTGCTGGGATGATTGGGAGAACGGAGGTGAAGAAGGGGCACTGTGTGTGATGGTGCGCCAGGAGCCACGAAAGCAGTCGATTTTGGCGTAGAGTTCTAGACATGAAATCCCTTGGGAACACCCACGCTATCGTCTAAGCGATTTTCATGCTCCTTGCGAAACGTAGATTGCTTATTCGCAGTCACGAAAATGCAGGTAACCAACTGCAACGGCTTCCAGCGCGACGATTCCGCTATCATGACCGCGGAGACCAGGTTGCTTTGATATTCGTAGGCGCGGAATCACCAAGTCGCTGCACCATCTTCATGATGGGTACGTCAGAAACGAACCCCTGCTTGTGAAAGACTCCACGTCTACCACAGAGCGAAACTCTCAAGGGGCTGTGGGTGCATAGTGTGCCACACTGCCAACTACATATGCTCAACGGTGTTGACAGTGAACTTACCAGAACTTCTTCTAAGATTCGTTGCTCTACAATGTGAACGTTCGAGTAAGTGATACCGGTGCTGCTCCAACATCAGCTTGGCAGTGGGAAAACGTGACATACCACATGTGCCAATCACCCCAAAACTGCTAGCATCCGACAGGTCCAATAATTGTCTCGCATCATGGGTTCTTTACGGGTGAGGATGATGCGGTTTTGAGGCGCCAAGCTGATATTTGGAGTCAGAGAAGATCATATCAGGGAGACAGTAACAGGTGGCAACCAGGCATAATACGTGCGACCGTCGCGCTGCCATCTCTTGCCATCATAATATCCACTGACACGGTCGTGTCGACATTTGCCGCCGAGGGGTTCCGACGTGTCATGTAAGTGCCAGCAAATACAAGTCTGTAGTGATAGTGCCTTCACCCTCCCATCAAACATTGCGAGGGACTGTCTATCGGTATCCAGATGGACATAATATCATGAAGCATGGTCAGTGGCGGAACACTGGATAATATAATAAGCGGACCAGAATTTCCCTAGCTGTCAATCTGGGATGATATTCAGGGTCGCAGTGGCAGTGCCCGTGATTTAAGACACGGCGCCCCCTTACAATACAACACCTGTTCCTTAACTGTTGTTTTTTTGCCCATTGCACACCCTCCTTTCGTTTGTGAACGCACCTCAATCATGGTTGGAACCCTTCCTCTCCTTCAAGCCCTTGCCGTTGTCGGGACCTGTGCGATCTTTTTGGTGCTTGTGCTTGCCTTCGGTGCTGACGACTTGAACGCGTCTTTACAGTACCCCATGCTAGCAGAGACGTGTCTAACGCACTTGTCTCCCGTCAATCAACTTTCGATCCTTCGGACCTGCCATCCCAGTGCCAGAGTCCTTGCCAGGTCATTTCGACCATGAGCGTATGTTCTCTCGGCCAGTTGACCCTCCCTAGGCGTCCTCACTTTTTTTAGGACTCAAGCTGCGACACTAGCCTGAGCTGCCTCTGCGCCAGCTCTATTTCAAGCGAGCTGCAGACTTGCATGTCCTGTCTGGTCGAGGCTGAGCCAACCGTTGAGTCATCCGCTCAATCTGCGCTTTCCAGCTACAACGATGCCTGCGGTACCTCACTTTCCGTGCGTGTCCAACTCCATTGTTATCCTCCCATGTTATTCGCACTATCTAATCGATTGTTTAGCTTAGCTCGAGCGGTGGTTCGAGCTCTGGGTCTGGAAGCTCATCTGTCAGTACCGCCACTACCGCTGCTGCTGCTTCCGCCAGTACTGGCTCTTCCAGTTCTTCCAGTCCATTTACCAAGTCTGGGGGTGCCCTCGGCCTCAAGGCCACTGCTGGTAGTTTCGTCGTGGGTATCGCTGCTGCCGTCTTGGGTGCTTTCATGGTCCTTTAAGGAATGGAATCTTTTCGATGGAGTATCTGATCGCGTTCTTATATCCAACACTCGTTTTTCACTCAATGGCAAAGGGAATTGGTCATTCGCTACGGTGTATTTGGCAATCTAATCCTTTGTACATTTTATATTATCCGTCCTATCCTAAAACATCGCACGTGTGGCACATGCCACATGTCCTCTTTGTCCTCATCCCAACAAAAAGTTGAAGTCGCGACATGGGGTTCGGATGATTTTCCATCCAAGCTGACCTGATCTCAACTGACACTCGACCGTGGGTTTCCAATCGGCTGCCTAACTAAAACTGACTATAGTACAGCCACATCATTTCACCTCTCCATTATTTGTTCTGGCAGCTGTTATACTAGTACTGTCATCCTGTCTAGGATATTACGGTGTGTCTGTCACCACATGAAGGCTCTGGGTGACTTGATTTCCTTCTCTGGGGCATACGAATGTTCCTCTTCTTTTGCCACTGTTTGCTATGTTATTGTTACAGACGCCTGCTGCCAGCCAGTCTGAAATGATCGGATGCGCAGTGCCGAGCGATTTACCCGTGGGTCCGCAATAAGATGAATCACCGTTGCGGTGAACTTACTATTCGAGCGCGGCGCAGTTAGGTTAGCAGGCTCTTTAGGCCGTTGACTACACGGCCGCAGGACGAGCATGTCCACATCCGAACGGTGGATCGCGCCTTCATTACAACGTTTAATCGACCAAGGAATCTAGTAGGGTCCCTATTATATGGTTCGCGTGTACGCCTTGTGTTATCTTACTAGGCACTTAACGCTGGCAAGCATTTGTTATCCATCTGTTAAAGAGCGTAATAAACGGCCAGGCGAATACAGGAGGGTGGCTTCACCGAGGTGCGATGCAGTATCAGTGCCAGTCCTGACGGCGTCGAGTCAATCTTCCCTTGCATAACACGTGAATTCACGCGCAACTTCGGTATGTCATAATACTTGAGTGCTGGTGACGATACAGTACGAGATATCAAGTGTAACAAGCAAAAAGGATGATACAACACGTCGGTCGGACATACGTATGTAAGTATGCGTGAGGCAGGATATATGTACTGGGATGCATATCAACAAGGAGTAGATGATCAAACAGTTGTCTTGGTAATCCAGGCCAGGTAGCAATGCTACAAATCGGCAGCCACGACGTGGCTGCAACAAGAACAAGTGGTCCGACACAATGGGCGTCAGGGGTAATAGTCATGAGAGTAGGGTCGAAAGTACACATAAGAGAATGAGATGGTGTAGGGCAAATACGGGAGTATGGATGGGCTCACATCAGCGCGGGGGGTCTGTGCAGTAGATGCCGTTGTTTGGCTAGCCGTGCCCGTTCGCTAGCTAGCCTGTTGATCGAGTTCAGCAAATCCCCACGGCGCAGTGGTTCTAGATCACCAGTCAGTGTATGAAATTGCAGTATGCGGACAATGATCATGCGCACTTGTAATATGATCGTCCATGCCTGCTTGCAAGCATCGTTCGCGGTCACCGATCACTGTGAATACGTGGTCAGCCATCCGTATCATTTCTGCCACCTCGTGAGGGACGCACTGGCATGAGCGGTAAGGGCAACGATAGGAGTGCGCAGAAGGCCCACTTGGACCTCATAAGCGCGTATTAACTCCGTGGCTTCCATTCCTCCCATGAATGGCATGGACACGTCCATCTTGTATCACATTATCAGCACCCTGTGGCTCACAACGTGCAGACCAAGATGATTACCAGGATGATGTCAAACGGCTTGTTCTGTTGCACTCGAGCTTTGAAGGCGTCAACGGCCAAGCTACCATTCTCCGCAATTTCCACAGAATGACCATACTTCTCCAAGATCTTCACTGCAAGCTTCTGGTTCACCATGTTGTCTTCCGCTAGTAGGATGTCGAACACAACATCACTCGGTGCCGCAACAGGCGAGACAGTGTTCGACTCCAGGGCGGAAATAAGGGCAGACGCCAGGTCTTGGGCAGATACCGGTGTGGTTACCTGCGAGCTGATGCTGTTGTCCAGACACCACTTGACTGTGGAAGACACATGATTCGTCACTACACGTCAACTAGGGGGGGCACTCACGGTTCAATCGAGGCATAGACGGTGCCAACAGAACGATTGGGATGTACCGCAGGTGTTCATGCTCTCTTGTACTCTCAGTCTGCACGTGTGATCAATACCAACAACGTTCCATTCGCGTTACAGAAGTCTGGGGAGTAACGCACCATACTCAGAGAATCCACCACAATGGTATCATATTGTTGGCAACGTTCCTTATCAGCTACGTCGCTGACATCATGAACATGGTACAATCTAAGCCCGAGTTCCTGTATTCGTTGGACAACGCCTGTCGTGTCAAAGAGGGTGTCTATAAATAGAATGGCACGCTTGTGGAAGGGTTGCATTTTCTGCAGCGTCGACTCCATACTGCTTAAGCTGATCTGAGAAGTGATCGTGAAGAAAAATTTGCTTCCTTTTGCCACCTCACTCTCTACCCACATGTTACCCTGCATAAGGTTAACAAGACGTTTCGAGATGGAGAGGCCAAGACCCGTTCCACCATATTCCTTGAAATGCATCAATATCGGCTGTTGCAAAGGAATAGAAGATTACGGCGTACTCGTGTGGTCGAGCCGTCGGCTTGGCAAAAAGTGTCGAAAATGAGATTCAACTTGTCCTTCGCGATACCAATGCCCGTATCAGTCACACAGAACTCTATTGTGACACTCTGGTCGTCAAGTGCCAGGAGGCGCGTGCTGAGCGCCACGTGACCTTTCTTCGACATCTTGGAAGGTGTGAATTTGATCGCGTTTCCGACCAAGTTGGTAATCACTTGGCGCAGACGAAGTGAGTCGCCAATCAGCTGGTCCGGAATGTCGGGGTCCACATCGTAGGTGAGGTCTAGGTTGTTCTGCGATGCACGGACAACGAGGGTCTTCAATATTCCAAAGACGGTCTGGCGGAGGGAATAAGACACGGCTTCCATTGTCATGCGACCAGCCTCAACTGAATGGCATGTTCGTCAGACCGTTCATAACGCGAGATAGTTATGCCTTACTCTTCGAGATATCCAATATGTCATCAATGATTAGCAATAACGAGCGGGCCAAGGAGTGCACGAGTAACAAGCTTTCTCGTTGCGATCGATTCAGGTCAGAATCCAGGGTCAATTCTGTCATGCCAATAATGCCATTCATCGGTGTCCTGAGCAATACCCGTAAAGATATGCACTCCGGAACAGACAGCCACAGCAAGGACAAACTCACCGAATCTCGTGGGACATGTTAGCAAGGAACTCAGACTTGGACCTGTTGGCCAACTCAGCTGCTTCCCTAGCTGCTGTGTTCTTCTGTATAGAATCACGCAAGTTGAACACCATCTGGTTGATCTGGGTCTTCAATGAATCCATCTCTCCACTGGCTTCGACCGTGATGAAACGTGTGAAGTCGCCATCCATGGCAGCAGCTGAGATTTGAGCAAAGCCTCGCACTTGCGTCGTCAAATTGCTGGCCATCGTATTGACCGACATGCTGCATGACAGAGGCGTCAGTATGTCATCCAACATCACTCTTGGCAAAAGAAGGAACGCACGTGATTTCCTGCCATATACCCTGAACGTTGCCAACCTCTGCTTGGACACCGAGCTTTCCTTCAGTGCCGACTTCAAAGGCGACCTTCTTCACTTCCTTGGCGAAGATGGCGAGCTGAGCAATCATGTCGTTGATAGTGTTCACCAAAGCTAACATCTCTCCGGAAACTGAGACACCCGTGATCTGTTGAGTCAAATCTCCGCGGGCAACAGCAGTCTTGGGGAATAAGTTAACTCAGCATCCAGATGACGAACACAAAACAGGACTCGTACCGTTGCAACAGCGATCGTCCGCACTTGCAATGTCAACTAAACAAAGTTAGCCATGTAGATATTTGGCCCGTCGACGAGCATCACTCACGTTGGCTGCCATAACGTTAACACAATCCGTAAGGTCCTGATTTTCCGTCAGCAAGCAAAGTCGCGTACCAACCAAACTAGTTAGTACCCACCTTCCAAGTACCACCAACATTGGTGACCCGGGCTTGACCACCCAATTTACCTTCTGTACCGACTTCTCTCGCGACACGCGTGACTTCAGCTGCGAAGTGACTCAAACTCTCCGTCATGCCATTCACGGTTTCTTTCAGTTCCATAATTTCGCCACGCACGTCGACTTGGATCTTCTTCGTCAAGTCGCCTGCAGCGACAGCTTTGGTCACCTCGGCGATAGATCGCACCTGGTTAGTCAAGTTCATGGCCATCAAGTTGACGTTATCTGTAAGAACCTGTAAATCCATGAATTGGGATCGGACAAGCCAGGAAGTCACGGCAGAGGAACAACAGACCTTCCACATTCCTTGCACATCTGGAACATACGCCTGACCGCCCAAGATACCTTCTGTTCCAACCTCGAGCGACACTCGTGTGACTTCGTTTGCAAGCGTGGATAATTGGGAGACCATGGAGTTCACCGTCACCTTCAAATCGAGCATCTCTCCTTGCACGTCAACTGTAATGACCTTGCCCAGATCACCACGTGCGACAGCCTTTGTGACGTCTGAAATGGACCGCACTTGATCGGTCAAATTGCTGGCCATTTTCTACCCCAAACCATCGGCGCGAGCTAAAAGGTGTGCAAGACAATAAACCACTTACGTTGACGTTGCGAGTCAAATCGGCCCATGTGCCTTGGGCACCCTCGACACGAGCTTGACCACCAAGGATACCTTGCGTACCCACTTCCAATGCGACACGAGTGACTTCAGATGCAAATGCACCCAGTTGGTCCACCATGGAGTTGACAGTTTGTTTCAATGTCAGCATCTCACCCTCGGCCAGGATCTCGACTTTCTGGGTCAAATCACCCTTGGCCACTGCAGTGGTGACCTTGGCAATGGACCGGACTTGATCGGTCAAACTAGAACACATCCGGTTGACCTATTGTGTAGCATTCAAACAAAGAGTGTTTGATGGCGTCGCGATGATTAACTTACGTTGCGGACCAATTCAAACCAGACGCCCTCCACATCCGGGACATGCGCTTGACCACCCAATTTACCTTGGGAACCAACTTCCAAAGTGACACGTGTGACTTCAGCAGCCAGCGCCCGAAGCCTGACAACCATTCCATTGACAGTGTTCTTCAGATCCAAGATTTCTCCGCGTGCATCAACATCGATTTGCTTGGATAGATCACCGAGGGCGACGGCTTTGGTGACAGTAGCGATACTGCGAACTTGGTTGGTCAAGTTCGCTGCCAGTTTGTTGACGACGCCAGTCAATTCGCGCCATGTACCCTCGACATCAAGGACGAGAGCCTGACCGCCGAGTTTCCTAAAATGCAAAATAAATAAGAAAAGGTAACGTAAATGTCATCATATCGTACCCTTCCGTGCCGACTTCCTGACTAACACGTGTTACTTCCTTAGCAAATTGTCCGAGTTTATCGACCTATGTGGACAGAGGAGGTCAGCTGAGGCAGGCGGTATTTACCAGTGGAGTGGATACCATCGTGTTGATAACGTCCTTGAGTTGAACCATAACGACACCCTGAACCGGCACGGTAATCTTTTGAGAGAGATCGCCGCGTGCGACGGCGTTACAGACACGAGCAACGTCTTGAACCTGAGCCTTGAGCAGGCGGAGTTCCTCCACAGCACTCATGCCGCTTTCGAAGGCGGCAGCGGCGAGAGGACCAGGAGGCACGACGAGAGGTGATCCGTTTGGAGATCCATTGAAAGTACTGTTCACTCGGCTCATAGTCATCGTGTCCGTTATCGGTTTTCCGCATGTCGGGCAGACCATGTGATCTATGTAAGATGTCGAAGGGGCGGAGCACGAGCTTCCATTACTGATTGACCGTTGCAACTTGAACGGATCGAAGTTGGTGGGTATGTTGTCAAGAGAGAGGGACATCGTCTGAGCACGAGTGTTGCTTGTCCTGTTGGATGCAGACGTGCGGGCTTGACCTGCCGCAGAGATTTGTAGTGAATCCAAATCGACATCCATCGGTCCGGAGGGGTTTTCTTGGATGAGGGTATCGGTGCATGCCAGGGTTGAAGACTTGTTTCCGTTGAGCAACTTGGCGCCATTGAGGGTGGCCGCCTGGATATGAGAAGAAGTGGAAGGGGAATGGTCCGTCTGAGAAGAAGAGCAATGCATGGGAGGGCTGCCTACACTGCGTCTTTTCTTGGTCTCTGGCCCGTTGGTTTGCCAATTCTCAGAGGCTCTTATCGAGGCGAGCATCTCCTCCGCTGTGTACATCCGCCGCGCGACGGCGGCGAGCGAACGGAGGATGGAGTCGGTTTGCCAATCGCCGGGGCCATCGTAGCGGGGAGGCGGGGTGGACATGGGACATAGTTCGTAGGTGGACAGCAGGGCAATCAGGTGGGACAGGAAGGCGTCGTGTGGGTTACGGCCGCGATAGTCCATCGTGTCCATCGCGCTCATCGTGTTCGACGACGACGAGCGACGACGATCGACGATAAAGGGTACTACAGAGGAGGAACGGAGAAGAACAAGCTCAAAGCAACCTTCTTGAATTCAAAATGACATCCGCTCCACAACTCATGATCAGCTGCTGCTTTCGGCAAACTTTCTCCGCTCACTCACTCGCAGTCACTTACACGACCCTAATACTTCATATACACAGCAAACCAAAATACAACAGTACGGCGATACTTGGGAACCTAGTCTAAGATGCTCCCCTAGATGTAGATGGGCAACGTGGGATTCAGTCCCAACCAATCCACCCCCTCGACCAAGTCCTTCTCACCAATCAAGAAATCCTACGTGAAACAAATATCAATCTTGAATCTCAAGATCATTGCACCGAGGAAACTCACGATAGGTGCCTCCACCAGCGAACCCTTGACCTGAGCCAGCCGTTCCTTGACACGACGCAGCCCAATCCCCGGCGCAACATGTCCAGTTTTCACTTTTGGAACATAGCTCTGCCACATTCACATCGTTTACAGCAACAACCCCGCCATCACAACCTGTGATAAGCCCTCGCCACATATATATACATGCAGCATGTACTACTCACCTCATACGCAGACCACGTTTGGACAAGGTTGGAAGGAACCGGTCGGAATAGCTCTGTAAATATCTCACGGTTCCTGCGTGCCGTACCGTTCCACAGATTCAGCGTCTCTTCTGCAAGGGGATCAGCCACCGCTTCATCCTCAGGAAGCTCCGTCTCATCGTCGTGTGGGTCGGGCGCGGGTTTCATAGCCAACGTCACCTGTCCATCAAAGCTCTCATTCTGAGGAGGAATGAGGCCCAGATGCTCTACCTCATTGTCAGTATATTCCAAGACAGGTAATGGATGCGCGTACCCCTGAAAAGTTGCCGTCGCAACGTTGCTGCAAACCGCGCGGCCATATACGGTCGTCCATTCATAGTCGTACGAATCATATCCCCATCTTCAACCACGAGGGCGATTTCCGAGTCACCATCTCCCTGTAAAAACACCGCAATCATCGATTTGAAAGACCCCAAGAATATATATTTTCTTTTCCTAACCTTCTGACTGCGATCATTCAAATTGGCAGACCCCATCTATGGACTCAAGCTTAGTCCATGACTCACGACGGTTGAGTAATACTCACGATAACACGTCTATCATCCACAATCATGACTTTGGAATGGATATAAAGCAACTCCGAAACGTAACTGTTCACGCGTTAGCCTGGGTTGAGCTCGGAACAAACCTACTTACGAATTCAGCTCTTCCTCTTCCGAGCCCATCCACAACTCGTCCTCCAAACTCGTTTTGTCTTGCAGTGCATGCTGGCTCACCGAGTCCGCTACATTTTCGTCCCCTCGGATGGAGTCTGATCCCGACTCGAATCGACGAACGATATCCACTGCAGCGTCATATGAAACGGGGACCGGCACCTTCTCCTGCTTGACCGGCGTTTGGTTGCTCACGACGATACCTTCGTTGGTCGCTTGGGGAACCTTGACAAACACTTCCCGAGGTGCATCCTGCGTAAGGAAGTTCACACCTTCCCATTGCCGGGCTAGAGCGATTTGGGCTTCATGGAACGTCACGCCGGAGTTGTGTTCCATTTGGGCAATGAGAGTATCTGAATTCGCCCAGTAATAAGGAACCTTCTTGTCAGAAAGATTCGGGGAACTCGGGCCAAACGAATACCCACCTAGTGGGGCATTGATACGGTCATATGAACGTAAGTGGTAGAAACGAATGTAGTCCGTCCTACCGCACGTCAGCTGCGTGCCGTCAGGGACGAATATATTAGACTCACGGTTCGTAGCCCGCTTTACGAATCTCTTCATAGATGCTGTGGCCGCCACGATTAATAGTACGATACTGAGCTGCCATAATCGTCTTCAGCGCGGTCTCATCCTTAACGTTCCCTGCGAAACCGGGCAGCTCGGGAATAACGACGATGACCTAAACCAGCCCAATCCGTCAACTTCATATGATTTTCCGGCATTACGCGTTACTGACCTTGAACTTCTGTCCGTCTCTGGCAGCTTGGACGATGCGCTCAACAAGCGCTTTCGCGATCTGGTTCGTAACGGGTCCTTCATCACGCGTGCTCGATATGCTAATTGCACGACTCAATAAAGCAAGGCAGACCCGCAAAGAGTGATCGATGCTTACAAGAACTGATTTTCTGGACGATCAGAAAGTGATTTTCAGCCGAATAGGCAGATTAACCGTCACGACCAAACCTACCGATATAGATGAAATGGCTAGCCTCGCGAATCAGCTGAATGTCTAGACCATCAAGTGTTCGAAGAACAAGGAAGATAAGAAGACGAGCATGCGCTATCCAAAACGGACGTACAGGCATTCTGAATGCTATGCTCCGTTAGCACTCCATTACTCCAGTCGGACACGCTTCGAACGACCTGGACCTGGCACGTTCCGTGCGGGGGAGGGGTAAAAGGCGGTTCGACTTCTTCGTAATCACCAAGATGGAAGCGCTGCCTGAAGCGACGCCCCATTTCATGCCATTTCTCGCGGTGCGGATGACCTGTTTTCCCAGAGGTATTAGCCCTCGATGAAAGGAAAGGATGCAGAGAACTCGGCAAGGAGGACGTACGGACGACAGCTTCATTTGGGCAGACTGAAACGTTGTGCGGGAAGGCTAGCCATTCGAAACGGCTAAGATGATGAGGTAGATCCTCAATGAACAAACGGGCAGAAAGTCCAAAACACTTTCGACTCACTCGTCATGCTGATACTGTTACAAGGTGTAAACGATATCAATACCCCGAAACATGTAAATGTGCTCGATCCACTCTTACCTTGCGTTTCTTGATTTCATTCCACCGCTCCACAAAGTGCTGGCAAATATCGAGGACGACTGTACCACATATCGTCATGTGAACCTATACGCAGTCCCGATGGGCAGCGGCACGGCGGAGGTGGTCATCAGACCCGATGAAACATGGTAATTATAATCCACACATATGACGCACATCATGCCACGGCATCCTAGGTATTTCCAATATCGAAATGGCATTACTGACGTAGTTCCCAACGTCCTGGAAATCCAACACACGAGCGTTGTTGTAGTCTTGACCTGGGAAAAGCGTACGCGAGAAATCGGTTGGATGGACGTCTGCGAGGGGATGGTTGTGCGTGTCCCAACGGCCGAAACATAAATCCAAGCCACCTATGCAGGCAAAGTGGTTGTCGACCACGACGACCTATGTGTATGTAGTGACCTCATGCATTAGCGAATCGTCGTTGTCGTCACGACGGTTGATCGTGATCATATCATGTGATTCCGAATTACCTTTTCGTGATGGGACCAAAACTCCACGGTGTCTGGGTAACGGTTGGCAGGCTGAGCAAATGAATTCGGGCGTTTAGATTGTGTGAAAGTTCACCTTTGCTTCCGATGTGATCAGGGTGGCGCATGCACGCGATGTTGGGGTGGAGCGCTTCCAGAGCAGCCTAAGTCAAAAAGGTAATACAACCACACACGTCAAACTTTACTCTAACCCAAACACTGGAGTGGATGTGGCAGCCTACTTTGGTGTGCTTTGAGCTCATCGACATCGTTTGCGTGACCTAAACATCCATGAGCACCGATCTGGCTAATAATATACGCCAACCGCAAACCCACTTCCTTGTACACAATAACATATATCCTGACGCCTTGTTGGGCCTTGCGCTGCAAGACCTTGTCCAGCCTCCACTCGGGATACTTTGCCGGTGGACGTCTTATTGACCCGGCATCACCATCGGAGCGACAAGGATGTGGAGTAAGTGATGGGCCTACCGTAGGTGGAGTTCTGGCGTAAGCCACCAATCCTGCAGTTTGCTGTATTAATACGACCGATTCAACACGACGAGGAAAGCATATACACGCCATGATAAAAATCACATCCCGCGCGTTGTCGAGCAACTCTGACACGGCCCACATATAATCATGCCCATCTACATGCCTAAGAGATTCACAAGCAACCGCCCATCAGCACATGCATCCATTCAAACTAACGCGCCACCTCTCGGAAGTGGGATGCGCGTGTGTCACAGGGACAGCCACGGACACGAATTCACTCACCACTTGATCGCGTTCTCAGTCCTCTGATCCGCAAAGCTTTCAAACCTATGGCTCGCATTGATCTCTGCGCGAATCTCGTCGTTCATCTTTTCTTCGGGTGTATCATGGCGACCTTCAGGTCTTCCACATGAGTGTTTAGTTCATCATATGTAATGTGTGATCGTGCTTACGATCGGCGTCCAATATTCCTGTTTTACAAACAAGCAGACAATTGGGGGTGGATGGGTACGGGGTCGATAATTAGTTGCCATTAAACCGCAGTCAGTACTCAATCAACACACCGATGATCTGATCGCGGGCTCTCTCGACGCCCTCTGGGAGACGTTCTGCGTAATCTAAGATCTTGCCGAACAGGCTCATCGTTCAGTGTCAGTAATAACTACTCCAACTTGTCAGGCGGGTGTGTGAGTTCAGAAGTGATTGAGGGCGTTGCCGTGGGGCTACTTAAGATACGTCTGACAGACACCGCCCAAATGTACTAACTCGTGCGAACAGCTGACCGACCGGACCCACAATACGACCCTGAAACCCCGGTGATTACGCCTTCGCTGGTGCTGCGGACCTGCGCCCAAGTCATCTTGGCCACTCACGCCCCAACTTGAAGTACCCTAAACGAATCGGATCCTCCACTCTCCATTCCAGCGATCACAGCCTGCCTCACAACACCCAGATACTCTCCTAACCTCCGCCCATCCGGCTGCAGGAAATCGTCGTAGAGCTTGTACCTTGAATCGGCGACGACGTTGGCGAGTTCCAGGGCGACGCAGAGGTTCCTATAGAATTGCATGGCACGTGCATAGGTTAGACCTACTTCCGTGTGGGGATGATGGTAGTGGACGAACCCTGGGATGTGTTCTCTCGACGAGTACAACATGACATGTAACCGAAGGATCAGCTCCGGCACATATATCTGTCTCACCCTCAACATCTCCAGATATCTTCGATCCACTGCAACCAACGCGACATCAACACAACTGTAACTGAAAGGCGAGATGCGCGCACCTCCTCCATCCGCTGCTTGCTCAGGAAGCATCCAATCTTCCGTCAACAATTTCACGATCGCTTCATAACATTGTTCGATGAGTTCCTGTTCAAAAGCGAGCGACTCAGCACCAGTCACGAAGCAAAAGAGAAAGGTATCGCCCGACCTTATAATCTCTCAACCACTCCGCTCTCGTATCCTTGTTCATCAGCGACACCTCCAGCGAGCGGCACTCCGTTACCCGATCGAGAAGTTCCCAAATATTGAAGAATTGTCGATAATGAAGGTACTCCGTCGCACGATCTTCGGGTTCACTGATCGCCGCGATTTCGGGAGGGAGCATGTCGAGAAGCTTTCGGGCGAGGTTGACGCGCCCGGTGCCTGTGCGAATGATGGTTAGGACGGGTGTGCCACAAGTTCGGGGAGATGAAGGGTGATGTACCGAGGAAATACCGTAAGATGACCGTTGCCTGCTCGAGGGCTGTATCGTATGTAGCTTCCATAAACGATGTCCATTCTATCGAACGCAGAAGTAACATTTCCACGTTCGAAGGTTCAGGTTGCAGCGCGATAATAGACGGCAAGGGTCCCCTGAGTGGTGGAAGATGCTGGAGAATGTCAATTCACACGTCGCTCAGAGTAAGGACAAAACAAAAACGCACCTCAAACGCTTTTTCAATCGTCCGTTCAGCCGTGACAGTGGCGACGGTGTTGACGTCTAGCCCGTGTTCGCGGGCGCGTGTCAGAGCCAGCCGTCGTTCCTTGATGTCCGCCGAGAGATCGAGAGACGTGAGGAACATGGCGTATCGCTCTACAGCGTTGTCACCCAGAGCACCGGCATACATAGCTATGAGTTCTCTTTGGCCAGCAGCCTGGATGACACGATGGGACTCAGCCCATTGGACCATGTGACATTAAAACTAACCTCTAACACCTGGAGATATGCCTCCAGGACGACTTGAGTCGCCAGCGGTGGTGTATAAATCTCGATCATTTGCAGGAAGAGACATAAGTGGGCAAAGAAACGGGTCATAGTTGGGTACCTGATGTACTGTCAGAGCAATCACTAAAAGTGCAGTAGCGGGACGCACTCGGATGAGTCTGGGTCGTATATACCATCTCTCAAACCAGCTGCAAAGGTGTCGAGTAACGGCTGTATGCGGTTAAGGATGATGGCAAGTTGAGATACATGAAAGGCGTTGTCCGCTGGAGGTCTGTCAAAAAGTCAACGAGAGCAAGGAAGAGGGTATACGAATCTTACCCGTCCTCGACCACCACTCCGCCCAGCGTTTCCAACGCAGAAGTAACTTCCTTCTGCCACTCTTCTTCCTCCTCTTCGTCTGCGCCATTCAAAGGCGCTGGGATCTCCTCAAGTGCTGCTAAAGCACCCTCCCAAAAGCACCCTTTGAGTTTTAACATTTCTGAGCTTTGCTTCTCTTCGCAGAGAATGCTGATTTGGACCCAAAGATGATCTTCCCAGGTGCGACATGCCGACCTGAGGACGGTGAACGTCTGCGGCGTAGGGGTGAGTGCTGCATAAACGACTCGCTCCGGATCAGAAAGGTTAGGCTGTAAGGAACGCGTTAACGGAACACGGAAGCGCGAGGTAATGAACTCACATTCAAAGCAGCACGTATGCAGGTCGATTTCCAGAGACGTCGGCGTTGATTTCCCTGCCATCCCTCCGCGTCGTCCTCGTCATCTAACCCATCGTCACACTGTTCATTCGCTTCGCACCGCATGAATTCCACACACGAATCAAATCAAGACTGTGCAGACGTACCTATTGCTCGCCATTGGAATAACAACGATCCCCGGATACTAGCAGCTCTCCATGGCTGATGTGCTCTGCGACACAGCTCAACCGCGTCGTCTAGCCGTCCAGCTCGAATGAACGAATAGATAGCTTGCGCGAGTGATTTTTCGAATGCCTACGGCGGGTCCATGATTCGCGATCCAGTATAAGCAGACACAGAATTGCATACCGCATCATCAGCAGCGAGCGTCTTCCCATCTCCTCGATTAACTGCATCCGGGTCCATCTCTCTCACCAGACCCTCTCTCGTACCCGCACCTGTCCTCAATCCCTGCATCACGATTATACTTTGTAAACTTCCAGTATCCAGTCGTAACTTCGGGATGCTGGACTGTGGATGCTGTTTCATGTAGCCACTCTCGGACGACGACGAGCTCAGGACAAGAGGGGTGAAGCGTGCATGATTGCCTGTGCGAGGGTGGACGTGGGCGTGAATGGGTTCTGTGCGAGGAGGGTTTGGGGGTGGACGTGTGATGCGGGCTCCTATTTTGCGTGCGCTGTACCAAGGTCAGCGACGGGGTGCTCGTGTTCGACGGCGCGCACCTACGGCATCAAGGCCTGCAAGAGTCCCCATGTATTGGCTTCCATGCGCAGAGCGTCCAACTCTGCTTGTGAAACATCAGCCGACGCTGTACGCTCGAGCTCGTCGATTCTAATAGCAGTGACCAGAGTGAGCGAGGTTGGACGCGGACGAGACACGCAACGCACTTGTCGCGACACAGATGCTGCAGTCTTGGAGCAAAGCCAGTTGAGGGGTCCAGCAGAGCTGCGAGGTCGTCTTTGAGGCCCTGACATGTTGTGAGGACCTCTGCACACGCTGCGTACAGCGAGTCTGACATGTTATGTGTGGTGGTCAAGCTGTGAAGATGACTACACAAGTATGTACACTATTGTGATAAGCCTCACGCCCCCCACTCGTCAACGGACTCGACCTCAGACGGAATGACAGCATGATCAGGGAACCATCCCCATCTATTGAACTCGATGCGCGACTCTCCAAGTATGCCAGTGCGGACAGACACCCCCTCGCCTTCGAGAGCACGTTTCTGGAGTGCACCGAGTCCGCTGTGGTCGGCTACGATGCCAGAGGTGGATATGACCCGGTGCCAGGGTGCACTTGAGGATGTTTGACCGAGTAGTTTGACCACTGAGGATAATCAGACAGGTCGAGGAAACGGACACGAGGGAGAACATACGTTGGTTGACACGTCTGGCTTGACGAGGTGTACCGGCCAATTTAGCGATATGCCCGCACGATGTAACCTTCTGCGGGGGAATCAACTGGATGAGATTGTAAACCTGCCCACAGTCAGCATGACTCGAGGAAGATGCGTATGCACGTACGCAAGCATTGAACTGGGCTGCGTCGTCCATTTGACGGGTGCGAGGGGACGATGGCCTGTGCATGTCTTATATCACTGCACTGGCCACAGCCAGGTCGTCCATGGATACCGGATGGATTTCGATCACGTCGCACCCCTCAGGAACGACATCATCCGTTCGGTACATACTCTCCAGGTGTCCCGCTCCAGAGGTTCATCCTGCCGTATTGACCGTTCAATTAGAACTTTTATTTGGAACTACCAGCGAACTTGACGGACAACTGGGTTCACACCACGACATTCTTGTTCGGAGGAGTGCACAGTTTTTGGAATTGTCCAATATGCCAGGTGCATTTCGAGCTGGTTGTCCGTTCCATCAAAGAATTTCTTGCATTCATCCTTCGGTCCTGCAGGTACCTTGCCGTCGTTCGCATTAAAGTAGACTGCCCTTCTGTCCTCATCTTGCTTCCTTCCTGGGTCTACTGGAATTAATGGACTTGACAAACTTGAGCTTGTACGTGCAAGTGAAGCTTACACTCTTCTAATGTATGTACCTCCCGAGTACTTCACCCGGGCCTCTCGCACGGAACTTGTGAAGAGAGCGGTGGGTGGTGACGTCGCTATATCCTCCGTACTTCAGGTCACAAGTGGTGGCGGGACGCCGGATCGGAGTGACAGGGAGCACTTGGGAAAGGGAAAGATATGGTTGATTCACCCCAAAAATCCGATGCTGGGTATGAGATGGACATGGACGAAGAAGACGAATCCGGAGTGCGAGGGCTTAGAGAACTCTGTTTCCACCATCTCACGGTATTCCGTGCCTTCCTCTATCGTATGGGCCAGTTGACGAATGTGCTGGATTACAGCGTGAGTTCGCAGTTATTTTGTCGAATTTGCTTTCCATTTCCCAATGATTGAACTTTATTAGATATCTCGTGCATGTCACCGTCAAAATTGGCCACGTCGTCAGATACACTTACAAAAGAGACGCTTAATCTTGTTTCGTTTCACCTATTGTAAGTTATTTTACACGCATCTCTGGCGTGGTACGATTACTGGTCATCCTAGTACTGTCCGCGCGTTCAGAATCTCGAGGCAGAAATAGCAGTGGCCTGCATACTGAGCAGTCTTATTGCTGCTCAGCCGTTCTCCGACGTGTCGTCGCAGGGATTATGGTAACATGTGCTTACCCAATCTGTTGTGTTCCGACTCATAGAATGTCTAAGAGAATACTATGCTCCAAGAGGGTGAAATTCTTTCCGGAAAGTTTGTCCGGCATGGCTTCTGACATATGGATGTAACCTTGCCACAGCGGTTGTATCTGCGCTGAAGACAGTGTACGAACCCTTTACACCTATCCTCGATCCAGACGAGGAACAATCTGGAACCAATGGCGCACTCGCATCGAGTGAGGGCGTTGAAGCTCGCTCTTAGGCGTTGTCGTTTGCGCGGCGGCTGGGGATTGACAGTATGTGAACCCATTGCTTAGCTGCATGTACACCTACTCAACTTTTGCAGTAACTGGTAGCTCTGCGCCGATAGGCATAAAATAGCGATTAGGGTTATGCGAACCCACTGCGCATTTGCTCGCTGCCGGTAAGTGCAATTCTGCGTTTCGAGGAGCTTCGGTGTTTTCCCAATATTTCGGACTCGGCATACCTCGAGACAATCCCAGCACTGTATTTAATGAATGGCACTGAGATGGAAGGCAATCCGTTGTTCGACGTCTGTTCAGCTTAAAATATCTCACACCAATGCGGTAGCACGCGACGCCCTCGATGCACAAGTGGCAAGAGCCGCAGGGGAATTGTCTGTAGACAGTTTGGTACACCTCCTCAATGCGATAGGAGAAGGAATCAAGGACCCTGGGCTTCCGGTGGGTCAATGCAAAAGCTTGATACACTTCTCGACGATCTTGCACCTCAAGGTCTGTACCGATTTGCTATTCTGATTATAAGTAGCAGGGTTTGGTAACGCGTCACCACAGGAACTCTGAAGGTGGTCCAAGCATTCGTAACGCGCTGCCTCGATGCCCTCACCGATCGACTTCACCTATACGGAGGTTCATCGGAATCGAAAGACCATTATCTGCAAACTGATCGCGAAGCATTGTTCTGACAGTGAGTGTCACCACTTTAAACACTTTGGACGATGTCATTCTTATATCCAATGGCAGCCCGCTGCTGTGCGTTCAGTCGACCTTGGGAGCGTCTGGCCCTTGCTCTGTAAAATCCTATTGGGGACCATCAACCACGACACCGCCAGCTCATTTGCGATTTTTCGCTGCATCGGTTCCGTAGCAGGCTCTCTCGTTCGTCTGAAACGTGACATAGTTATACATACGCTCTCGGATCTAGCCTTCGTCTTGCATCGACTGCTGCTAACCACCAGGCGCATGCGTTCCCACCCAGGAGCTAAGCAGAGTAAAGTCGTCGCAGGAACACTTCGGTGTTGGATTTCACCATCTTAACCGCTTGGTATTGCCGAAAGCCGTGCTCTTAGTCGACTTCTCACTGCACTCACTGTCAAAACTGTTCCTTGCGTGCACACAACACAACACACCGCGATTGCCGCCGAAACACAAAAAGCTGAAACTATGGCAAAGCCTTTCGCAAAACATGTAGGGCACGTCCTCTTGGCACACATCGACTCTATGAACGACCCGTTGTGCGTCCTGACACCAGAGATACGATGGGAACTCGAGCCTGGGCTATTCTCATCATGTAAAATGCTCGGTGAGCACAATTGAGATGCTCTGATGGTCTCTGCGCTGGATTCCGGCAGCAATACTCTCATGAAGTCGTTCTGGAGGGAGTACGGGAAGCAGCGATATGTGGGGAAGGGGTAATGCGATATGTATCTATGGCCGCAGAACTGTCTTCGCCTCTCAGAGAGCAACAAAACCGCTTGCCAATGGAAGGAGCACTGAGGCACATGCTCTAAAAGTTATTCTATTGATGTCTAGCTGGAAAACTACGTAGTGGCATCTGAATGACTATGGCATGGAGATTGATAGGTGTACCATTAGATTGTCATGCAAATTTTTTGCCAGAGGGTCCACTACTTCGATGGCTATCGGTTGCAGTCACCCACAGCGTAAAGAATAAGATCTCTTCTGGGTGAAGTTAAAGGGGATTAAGGAGGTAGCCAGAACACAGCACTCACTGATGATGCATTTTAGAGACGGAGCTTGGGTCCTGTGCTGTGGAGAGGTGACAATAGAGTTGGCATGCTCAACGACGGTCGCTGTCGACACCACCAGCGGATGTAGTCAAAGCACGTCGGTTCATGGTTCAGATCTTGACCCCATGATTGTGCGGGGCGCCATGGACAGGCCACTTGTTGTTTGTACCCCTCGTGCTAATACTAGGTGGGTTAACAAAGAGACATGTTGCTTGTGGATTTCCCAACTGCACGACCGAGTATTGTGGAAGAATGTTTTTGGAAACCGGATCTTCGAAGGAGGCGCTGAGAAAGCCCCACTGTGCTACAGTGTCTGGTGTGAAGGACGGGGCAAGTGCACGAAGACACAAAGCCGCTGAGAAGATCGGTAGTACGCTTCACCAGGAGCATAACTAGTGTACCTATCGAGCTAGATTCGTACTGTGGAGAGTATGGGACGAGCTCCACTGGCATTGTTATGAGCAATCGAAGATAGCAAGGAAGGACCGATAGGCGAGTCTTTCCCTTGCCGATGCCTCACCAGGACTCGGTCAGACGACGGGGAGAAATGGGACGGCCCAGCAAGAACTTGGTGGTCGTAGTTTACACACGTCTCAGGCTGTGCACAAACAGAGAGGCACGTTGATTCAACGCTACTCGAATCCGCAGTCCCTTGCCCTTCGTATTTCACCACCACCGTCCCCAACGGTCGTAGCACGCTTACTGTTTGAGGCATCCTAAGATTTGTTTCTCATCTTCACATCGCCATGGCGCCGAGCTCTCTTCGTTCTTGGTGGCGTTCTCTGCGGCGTTCTCAACCTCGGAGTCGCGATGCTGGTATATTACTCCCCACTGAAGCTGCTCCTTCAGTTGCTCCGGATGCAGTCGTCCCTACACGGCCTTCGGACTATCGCTTAGATCCTATCGAGGCCAAATGGCAGATTGATCGCATCCCTCGTTTTCGCATTCTTGTCATGGGCAGGGCAAATGCGGGTAAAACAACTATTTTACAGCGGGTCTGTAACACTACGGACGAGCCTGAGATTTTCGACGGAAATGGAGAGAAGGTATGTGTATGTGCTATGTACTTCATGTTTGTTAACATATCATTCTGCCAGGTTGATGTGCGGATGGTGCAGGGTTCACTGAAGGTAAGGCCACCACATGAAATTACGCAGGGCTCACATCAAACGTATGCAGCGAGGTTACCATAACATTGAGGATGAGCTAGTGTTTAAAAGTAATCCGCGCTTTGTATTCCATGACTCGTGTGGATTCGAGGCGGGGAGCGAGGCACAGTTTGATAAAATGAAGAAATTTGTCACAGATCATGCCAAGGCCACCAAACTGGAGAGGAGAATACATGCAATTTGGTAGGGACATGTCTGACTAGCATGCCTGGAAGTGCACTGACCTGGTCCTTGTAATTGATTTAGGTATTGCATTCCTTTGAATGAAAGCCATAGGATGGTAACAGCAGCTGAAAAGAAGTTCTTTAATGAGTGTGATTCAGGGCATGGTATGTGTTCACAAATATCATGTTGAATTTGGTGCAAGGATTTAGGGTTTACACAGTTCCTGTGATTGTGTTACTAACAAAGGCAGATGCCTTAAATTTTAAGGCATTTGAGGAGCTTATGGACAGGGGTTTTACTGAAGATGAGGCAGTGAAAGAGGCACCAGAGGAAGAAAAACAGCTGCAAAAGGGCTGTCTGGAAAAGATCAAAGGGTGGCTGAATGAACTGAAGTTTCCACCTCAAAGCTACCTGATGCTCACTGGTAAGTAAGTCATGAATAAAAAGACTGTAGTTTAGCATGTGTCTCTCCAGGCATGGAACAGGAGAGTGCAGATTGTGAAGAGCTATTGAACTGCACAGCAAATGCTTTGACAGAGGAAGGGCTGCAAGGACTGCTTATATCATCACAGCAGTCAAACTTGGGACTCTGCATGGAATTTGCCATAATGAAGTGAGTAGTAAAAACCAAGTTCTACAGGGTACTGACTACAGAAAGGACATTGAAGGGGGTCATGAACCAGGTGGCTGAACAGGTTGAACTGAACAAGTTAGCATATGACCTTTCAGCATGGTTCCCATTTGTAAGCAACCAGAGTGTTGGAGGATTGGATGGCTAATTAGGTTGTAGTGGGTGTGTGAAATCCTGCAAGTGCAAGTATAACTGGCACTGAAGGTGATTGTGGCTGCTGTGTTGGACTGTGATTGACAGAATGTAAGTTGACTCATTCATTGAAAATGGTAGTGGGTGCATGCTGACATGTTCACTCCCACCCTGTTGGACTGGGGTTCATAGTATGTGAGTGGAGTCATGGCAGATGGTGGTGGATGCATGCTGACATGTTCACTCCCACCCTGTTGGACTGGGGTTCATAGGAAGTGAGTGGAGTCATGGCAGATGGTGGTGGATGCATGCTGACATGTTCACTCCCACCCTGTTGGACTGGGGTTCATAGGCAGTGAGTGGAGTCATGGCAGATGGTGGTGGATGCATGCTGACATGTTCACTCCCACCCTGTTGGACTGGGGTTCATAGGCAGTGAGTGGAGTCATGGCAGATGGTGGTGGATGCATGCTGACATGTTCACTCCCACCCTGTTGGACTGGGGTTCATAGCGAGTGAGTGGAGTCATGGCAGATGGTGGTGGATGCATGCTGACATGTTCACTCCCACCCTGTTGGACTGGGGTTCATAGTATGTGAGTGGAGTCATGGCAGATGGTGGTGGATGCATGCTGACATGTTCACTCCCACCCTGTTGGACTGGGGTTCATAGTATGTGAGTGGAGTCATGGCAGATGGTGGTGGATGCATGCTGACATGTTCACTCCCACCCTGTTGGACTGGGGTTCATAGTATGTGAGTGGAGTCATGGCAGATGGTGGTGGATGCATGCTGACATGTTCACTCCCACCCTGTTGGACTGGGGTTCATAGGCAGTGAGTGGAGTCATGGCAGATGGTGGTGGATGCATGCTGACATGTTCACTCCCACCCTGTTGGACTGGGGTTCATAGTGAGTGAGTGGAGTCATGGCAGATGGTGGTGGATGCATGCTGACATGTTCACTCCCACCCTGTTGGACTGGGGTTCATAGGATGTGAGTGGAGTCATGGCAGATGGTGGTGGATGCATGCTGACATGTTCACTCCCACCCTGTTGGACTGGGGTTCATAGCGAGTGAGTGGAGTCATGGCAGATGGTGGTGGATGCATGCTGACATGTTCACTCCCACCCTGTTGGACTGGGGTTCATAGTATGTGAGTGGAGTCATGACAGATGGTGGTGGATGCATGCTGACATGTTCACTCCCACCCTGTTGGACTGGGGTTCATAGTATGTGAGTGGAGTCATGGCAGATGGTGGTGGATGCATGCTGACATGTTCACTCCCACCCTGTTGGACTGGGGTTCATAGGATGTGAGTGGAGTCATGGCAGATGGTGGTGGATGCATGCTGACATGTTCACTCCCACCCTGTTGGACTGGGGTTCATAGTATGTGAGTGGAGTCATGGCAGATGGTGGTGGATGCATGCTGACATGTTCACTCCCACCCTGTTGGACTGGGGTTCATAGGCAGTGAGTGGAGTCATGGCAGATGGTGGTGGATGCATGCTGACATGTTCACTCCCACCCTGTTGGACTGGGGTTCATAGCGAGTGAGTGGAGTCATGGCAGATGGTGGTGGATGCATGCTGACATGTTTACTCCCACCCTGTTGGACTGGGGTTCATAGGGAGTGAGTGGAGTCATGGCAGATGGTGGTGGATGCATGCTGACATGTTCACTCCCACCCTGTTGGACTGGGGTTCATAGGTATGTGAGTGGAGTCATGGTAGATGGTGGTGGATGCATGCTGACATGTTCACTCCCACCCTGTTGGACTGGGGTTCATAGTATGTGAGTGGAGTCATGGCAGATGGTGGTGGATGCATGCTGACATGTTCACTCCCACCCTGTTGGACTGGGGTTCATAGGATGTGAGTGGAGTCATGGCAGATGGTGGTGGATGCATGCTGACATGTTCACTCCCACCCTTTTGGAATGGGGTTTGTAGCTTGTGAGTGGAGTCAGGGCAGATGTTGGTGGATGCATGGTGACTATATTCACCACTGCTTTGCTTGACTTGCATGCATAGTTTGTGAGTGACTGCATGAAAAATGGTAGCCATGGATGGTCACTGAATTTGATTTTCTCTCCTACCCCATTGTATTTGCATTCATAGGATAGTGAGTGATCTTGTGGAAGCATCTGTTGGAGGAGAATGCATACTCACAGTCCTTACTGTTTCACTCTTCATCTCTGTGTCTTAGGGAGTGAGTGCTGTTGATATTGCCTATTTAGCATGCCTTTTACAAGGCCTTCTCATCAAATAGATGGTGAGCTTGATCACTGCATGTATCTCTGCAATATTGCTGAGGCATTGTGTAGGATGTGGGTGCAGCTCTTTCCTTGTAGTCTGCCTTTTTCTCATTTCTCCTCCTGTATTTCTCTCAGAATGTTAGTTGTTGCAGTTCCTCTAAATTCCTCAGAAAGACTAACCTATCCCCAGAATGTATGGTTTCTGTTCTGCATCCTGCACTCATCCATTGCCCATATCTTTTACAGTTGGTTGGTCGCTCTTTTTTTTTACCTATAACATTAGTTCCATTTTACTGTTGACATCTTGTCAGGTGGTATGTTTCAATTCTTTTTTTTTGCCAGCTGCCTATGATGTATTGAATTGGTTGGTCATAGGAACTCATTGGCCACAGCAGTAGTTCCATCTCCATCCCTGAATTGTACACATCACAGCTGCATCCCCTGAAGGCACTTGTAGAACATGGCATTGGTAAATTATCTCTTTTGAGGCTGCTTTAATATAAGGCTCATGATTACAGGTTGTGTAATTGTCTTTGAATACTTATTTTTCCAGTTGCAGGTCAAGGATAGGGGTACTATAAGGGAGGATTTGCAGCAGGATCTGACACTGATTGTCCAAAAATATCAGAAATCAGGTGTCCAAGAGATTGTCAATGCATGTATTGCTGAAGCCTTTCAGCAGCATGGTGACAGGGTGGATGATTTGTGCCCCATGCTTGTGGGTATAGCACAGGCAAACCAGATGTGTAAGACATATTCTTTACCACAATGCTGGAAGTCCTATTTGAATTGTCCACAGCAAAGAAATTCCTGGAATGAAATAAGACAATTTCAGCTCTTATGTACTTCACTATTCTTGGTGAGTCCCTTGGTTTCCATCTACTAACCAGTATGAAGATTTAATTTGCAGCATCCCAATGCCTACCAGTGTCTTTTTGTGAAATCCCCTATTACTGTAGAAAATCATGTGAAATTTGGTATCTGTTTGTTATTGTGTACATTCATGTCTTCTCATATAGTTCTATGCCACATTCAAATTTGAGTCCTGGTTTCTTGCCATCAGTGGTTGGGAATTCAGATTCCTTTGTATAACCCCATATAGATTGCTGGAATATGGCAATTTATACAACTATTTCCCAAGTCTCATATACATCCAAACTGCCACCACAATGTCACATTTCTCACAAATTTGTCCAGTGGTATCAACTTAGGTTATGGGCCCCCATAGGGTGAATTTTTTGGCCAACCCTGGGGCTGTGCTGACCCTACACCTAACCCCATGCACTCCCTATTTGGGCACTAGGGTTCCAGATATGGCAACAGAGCGCCTATTGCATCATAAGGAAGGGTGAGTGATCATGTGATGGCTGCCCACCTTGCAGGTGCATGATCATGTGACCCCATCTTCCATCATGCAGAATGGCCATCCCACACCACAGGTATGCAGGTCACATGACCCCAACCCTTGACCATGCAATGTGGCTGTCTTGGATGGCCATCTGCACTGTGGGTGTGCAGGTCACATGGCCAAAGTGCACTTGCACCACTTGGCCTTCCAAGACAGCCATCCGTGGCCACCTGGGTCATGTGACTGCCATGCCTGCATGTGGATGGCCATCCAAGATGGCCACCTGAGGCACAGGCATGATGTTACTGATTACATCACATGGAATATCAGAGTAGGGCCTCACACACCCAATCATGTAATTTAACCCCATGTTGCATATGGTCAGTGCCAGTTGGCCATTCGGGACAGCCAATGCCATTCACTGCGGAAACGAGATTTTAGCAGGGGGCATAACCAGATTCTCCAAATGTAGATAATCCGACCTTGATTTTTTTTTGTAAGATATAGCTATTAGTCTGAGTAAAGTCCGACTCCACAATTTTTGAGTAACATATCCAAATAATCCAACGTAGGCAAGATCCGAATATAGTCAATACACCAATAGCCTGACCTCTTGCACATGCATTTCCCCACTCTGACTATGCTCGACTCCATCAGCCATAGTCCAACTATAATACCATCGGAATAGTGGCTCTTTCCGCCCTTGCACCCCTCAGAAAAAATAATGGACTTTGCGAAAATTTTCCTTGGTCTCCAAGTTCACTGGTTTGCCATGTACACCATGAACCAACCCAAGGTATGTGGTACTCGAGTCCTCCGGCCTATGCACTCACCTCCAAAAGTTCCATATCGATGCTAACCAGGTGGTTCCAACCTCACAAGCTGATGAAACTGAGTTTGTTGGTCCCCCGACAGTCATCAAACGTAGGCCACACATCCTTCGACTTCATGTCCCAACCAGCGTCCAAAACGTTATGCTCTCTTTCGAGCCAAACTCCCAAGGCCCTGTGGTACATGTGGCTAATTACCATTCATGTGTCTTCCACTCACAGCCATACACCAGACCATAGAAATCTCCCTAACAACGATGTCACCAGAGCTTGGGAATGATACCTTTCGTGCAACTCAAGCGTGCATTGTTGACTTCAGTGCTAACGTTGGTACTGGTGGGGTTAAGTTGGAGTCTGCAGATGCCCATGTTTCAGCCGTCTCAGTAAGTCATCGCATAATTCATTTCCTTGCTGATGGTATTACATAGGATCCTCTACTTGTCAATGTCGAGCCACTTCCTGCCATGCAAGGACCGTTCGGATGTATTCCAGACCATCTCCTGCCTGCCGACAAAAGCCAGACAAACCCTGAGGGTGGTACTGCCCTGCCTATTGCCCCTCACATTCCTCTCATTGATGAGAGTGAAACTGAGCCTGAAAGTATGGAGGAGACCCCAACCATGGCTGTCAAGGTACATTGTGACTCATGAACCGTTCTTTTCTCGATATTGACCTCTTTCTAGAAAACTACTTCGGAAATACCAGTCTCGTCTCTTCCCACACAGGTTTCTGGCCCCTCCATTAGGCATACTTTTACCCCAGACAGTTTTGCTGGATCGGAGATGTTTGATACTGTGAGTACACAACTGTTGTGTGTAAGTAAACTTCATCATTTGTGTTGTCACATACTCATCATTACTCAGGAAAGATGGGCCCAAATTCGAGAGGGACTTATCGCTGGCCAGGAAAATAATAAAAGATGTTGCATGCCCATATTCTCTGAAGCTAGTACCCCCACCCCTCCCACTAAACGCTCTCGCAAGTAGTACTTGTCTTTTTTTGGAACTAATATAATGTTCACGTGATCATTAATGTCGTGCACATCCTCCTGCTACCTCCTCAAGGCCTCACACTCTATTCACTAAGAACACGCCTCCGATGGGGTTCCAGCAATGCAACTGCAAATCTTTCGGGTGTAATGGAGTGCTAGTGCCTGCACATGCGGCCACTGCCCATACACGATATGACCTTCGTGCGAGGATGAAAGCATCCCAGATGTCACAGCTGCGTGTATCAGGGCATAGGGTCATCCGTTCGGTCATTAAAGACGCAGGGCCTGTCTCACGATTATTTCCATACCCTATATGCATGCCTGCTTCCCCCCCTCTCACCTGATGTCTCTTTTGCTGACCCGCCGCATACTTCGACCTGTGCTGTAGAACAAGAGATGCTCGACCACGGTACTCTCAGTGGCGAGGACCTTGATATTCTGACCTTTGGCAGTGCACTACCGAATCTGGGACCGAACTTCCATAGCCCCGAGGCCTTGCTTTCCGCTGTGGACTACTTCCAAGAGTACAATGCAAGGACGTCTGCTGGCGCTTGCCCTCTCACTTCATTTCGTGCCCACCATCTCCCTCCTGACCCAGAACAGCGCACCGTGGAATGTCAGCTCCAACATATTGCAGAAGAACTTTGTGATGAGCAGAACAATAGTCGGAACAATGCCCCGCCCCTCGATTATGATGATATGTCCTATGCTAATGGATCCTGGTCTTATACTGATGAAACTGATCATGCCCACAACGCAGAGGTAGTAGATGGCCCCCCCCACCCCAGTGTCGATGAAGACGATCCCAATCCCTTCCTTATCGATGAAGAGGTGTGATCGGATAACCTAGACCTTGCTGATATCCCGGAGCACGTCACGGTCATACATGCTCTCGTATCATGGCTCCATCTCCAGTTCAATCTCCCGCGCATTGCATGCAATGCGCTATTGGCGATCCTCACTCTTCTACTATTCTTTCTCAACCCAACCACTGCCTCCCCGTTCACAACGCTCCAGTCTGGAAATCGCCTTCTCGGAGTCAATAGACCCATCCATACGTTACCGGTCTGTCCGAATTGTCGTGATGTATACCCTCCGGCCTCGTCACCGCATTGTCATGATACCTGCACATCCTGCCACATTGAACTTTTTCTTCCAGGGCAGACTCTACGTGGCAACACTCGCATGCTGAAGACTCCAGTTATTAAGTACCCTTATCTCCCGCTGTCTGAGCAAATTGCGTCAATCCTCAAGATTCCTGGTATCGAGGCTACTCTCGACGAGTGGCGAGACAAACCACGAAAACCTGGCATGTATACGGACATATTCGATGGCAATATCTGCCGCACGAAGCTTAAAGGTCCCGACAGCAATCTGTTCTTTTCAAACCAGATGAATGAACGTGGTGGTCCAAATGGCGAGCTTCGCTTAGGTGTGAACTTGGGCGTGGACTGGTATGCTCTTCCCGCTGACTTTATGATTTGACTGAATGTACTTCACGACAGGTTTTCATACATTCAGAGCAATATCGCACCATCCCATTCATCGGCTCCAGCATCGTTCTCGATCTGTAACCTGCCACCAGAATACAGGTAAGTTTTATGATATCCTCGCATCTTTCTTCTCACACAGCTTTGTCCTTCCTTGCAGGTATCGGACAGCAAATCTAATGTGCACGAGTATCATGCCTGGTCCAAAGGAGCAATCACCGGACCAGGTACAACGATTTCTTCGGCCTATCGTGTCTGATCTACTGCGGCTTTGGAAGCATGGTATCAAAGTTCCCACTGAATCATGGCCTGAAGGTATGTCTAATATTATTTTATGCGAGTGTCTACTGACTTATCTTAGGACGGCTTGTCCGTGTTGCCCTTGTTGTGGTCATATGCGACAAGCCTGCAGCGCACAAGATTGGAGGCTTCGCATCGCACTCTCATACTTATTTTTGTACAGAGTGCTGGATATCTGTGGCAGACAAGACGAATCCAAATGCGTTTCAGCAAGGAGGTATGTCTTTCCGCCTCTCGCACAGACAATATACAAAACTTATTATCCATATCAGCTTTTCCGCCATGAACAGATGCTGAGCAGTGCCGTTTAGGCGATCAGTATCGCAACCTTGCAACACCGAATGCACAGAAGACCTTCGTCAAAGAGTATGCAACACGATATTCGCAGCTATCCCGCCTACCATATTTCAACTTGGTCGCACAAATCATCATAGATCCGATGCACAATCTCTTCCTGGGTGCGTCGTAATATCTACTTCGAGTCTGTATAAAACTGACATGTCTTCTATTCTCAGGATTAGTGAAGACGCACTTTTACAATATCTGGGTTCAAAGCAAGATATTACAGCCGAATCATGAGCTCGCCACGCTACACAGCATGCTTGCAGATGTATGTGTGTCCTATTTTTCCCTTCCGAGAGCGACTTAACATTCAAAACATTACTAGTTTATCATCCCGGGCTCGTGCAGCAAACTGCCGACTGACATTGGGACCCCTGCCAGTGGATCTCTTACGGCCGATCAGTGGTTGCTTTTGGCAACCGTATATGGCCCGATCATTGTATGTTTCATCGACGCTTGACATCAAGCTCACAACTTATACAGGCATAGGTACCTCAGATTTGGGACAGTTATCTACCACGCCAGACATCTGATGAAGCACCCTTTCGCCACATCTCCACGATTGAGCAGGCCGAAACCGAGAAACAACAGGAAGCTTCCCGGAAGGCTAACAACAAGACGTCCCTCACAGAAGCCAAGAAACGCGGAAGGGAAGCTTTTGAAACAGAAAAGTCCCGTATTGCGCAGGAGAATATGGCCATCGCCGAGGCAAAGAAGCAGGAAAAGCTCCAACAGCTGGTAGTAAAGCAAGCCGAGAAGGCGCGGCAGGCCGAAGTCAAACGAGTGAGTTTCACATACATCTTCGTGTACTTCTACGTACTACATATGGGTTTCCGT